TTTGTTTAGAAAAACACCTCACAGCCAGTCCAAGCAAATATATCTATATATCCTTGGCAGTGCACTGGCCAGCCATGCGAAAGCTCGGGTGAGTTGCAGCTAATGAGTCGCGGCTTGTGACATCATCGCCTGGTGCCGCTACTCCTTTCCAAGCATGCGCATGGCCCCTGTGTGCGCTGTTATCCAATGCTCGGCTGCTGGGCGATTCTGGGGTGACTTGGCTCGTGGGCTGACAGAGAGGGCTCTGCATGCCCACTGTGGCAGTGTTCCATAGGTTCGCCACCACTGCCCTAGCACATTGCTCTTGGGATGGTTTACAGATAGCTAAACATTAAAATAGCATAACAATAACCAAAAACATATACAAGGGTAAAAGCAAAACAAATTACTATTAAAAACAATAGATAACAACATATAAACCCCCTGCAACAAATCATTGTAATAAATACCAGTTTAAAAACACATGTCAATCAACAATTAAAATAACAGGAGACTAAAAGGGTTTTGACCTGGTGCTGAAATGTATAAAGTGTCGGCACTAGGCGCACCTCCCTACAAATTTGTTTCCATAAATGAGGCGCCACTACTGAAAAGGCCCTTCCCTTGGTAGCCACCTTCCTTGCTTCCTTTAAAGGTGGCTCTTGGAGAAGGGCCACCACTGAAGATCTTAGTTTCTGGGTAGGTATATAAGGGAAGAGGTGTTCCTTCATATATCAAGGTCCTAAACTGTTTAGGCCCCAACTACAATTGGTAGCCAGTGTAGGCAATAGAGAACAGGGCAGGTGTCCGTATCAGCCCATCCCGGTCAACAGACGAGCAGCTTTGTTCTGCACCAACTGAAATTCCCAGACCATTTTCAAGGGTAGCCCCAAGTAGAGCACATTTATTTATTAATTAAAACATTTATAGGCCATTCTTTGCCGCAGCCTCAGGACGGCTTACAAAATATCAGTAGAAATAACAATAGGATAATACAAATTTCAATAAAAACAATCAATAAATACATAATACAATAAATAATAAAAATAAATCAAATCAAATAAATCAAAAGCAACTGTTAAAAACCATTAAAAATACTAATTTTTAAAATACCGTTTAAATAAAAAGGTTTTAACCTGGTGGCGAAAACAATATAAACTCGGTGCCAGGCAAACCTCTCTGGGTAGCGCATTCCACAATCTGCGTGCCACCGCAGAGAAGGCCCAGCATTGCAGTAATCTCAATGTGAGGGTACCAGTGCATTGCTCGCCATTGGTAAATGCTGCTCATCCAGATAGGGGCACAGCTGATGTATCAGCTGCAATTGATAAAAGGTGCTCCTGACCACATATGCCAGCTGGTACTCCAGGGATAATTCTGGGTCCAGGAGCACCCGCAAACTCTGCACTCTGTCCTGTAGGGGGAGTGCCACCCCATCCAGGACGGTGTGGCTATCCTCCTCCTGGACTAAGGTTCCACCTATCAATGGCACACCCATTTTATCTGGATTAGGTTTCAATTTCTTGGCCCTCATCCAGTCCATCACACCAGATATGCACTGGCTCGGAGTCAAAGCTTCCTCACCTGGATCAGATGCAAATAGAAGTGTCATCAGCATACTGACGACTCCTCAGCCCAAACCTCTAGATGACCTCTCCCAGTGGCTTAATGTAGGCATTCAACAACAAGTGGGATAAAACTTCGATGCACATCTTGGCATGGCTGCCATGGGGCCGTCTGGAATCGGCCAGTCACGTAGGAGTAGAAGGATTGCAGAGCAGTGTCTCCAACTCTTAACCCGGCCAGCCAATCCAGAACGATACCATGGTCGATGGTATTGAAAGCCACTGAGAGGGTTAGGGTTAGGGTTAGAAAGAAGAAATAACACTCCCCTTGTCTTTCTCCCAGCAAAGGTCACCCCACAGGGTGACCAGGGTTGTCTCTGTCCCAGAACCAGGCCTAAATCCGGACTGAAATGGATCAAGATGGTCCATTTCTTCCAAGTGTGTCTGCAGCTGCCCAGCAATAACACCTGGCCCAGGAAGGGAATGTTGGCTACAGGCCGATAGTAGTTATCATCTTCTGGATCCAGGCTAGCCTTGTTCAGGAGAGACCTGATCTCTCCAAGAGATTGGACTGCACCTATCAAATCCAGGAGCCTCAATAGATTCCCTGATTCATTGGATACTCTAAGCCCACCTTCCCCAATCTGGTGCTTTCCAGTTGTTTTGGTCTTCAGCACTAATCCGTCAGAGGAGAGCAAAGAAACAGGTTGAATCAAAACAAGACTGCAGGGATGTAATGTTGATAGGCAACCTGGCTGCCTCCAGGGAGGCAGTTCCACCGATTATTCTAGCAGGAGGCATGTCTCCCTCGAAGAGCACATTTGCAGTGGCTGCCCTCCTCAGAGGACTCTCGCTGCTCTGCTTTGCCATTGTTCTCTATCCCATCCTTCTTTAAAACTTAAAATTCCTTGCTAACCAGCACCGGCTTCTTTCATGGCAGCATCCACTGCTGTTGCTCTGCTACCCTGCCAAAACGAGGAGCTCCTGGTCCAGCAGAGCAGCAATGTTATTGAAATCATACATGTTCACAGGCAGAAAGATTCCCCGCTGACACAGCTGTTAGCAGCTGCCTATGGGGATGTGTTCCCCTGTGTAGCAGGAGTGGCTTTCTTTTTTTAAAAAAGGGCTAGGCTCAGGCCTGCGCTTGCTGATCATGGCAGAGCCCAATTCTGGGAGAACCTGAGGCTCCCTGGCAGCCAGCACACACGCAGCTGCCTTTCTTCACCCACTTGTTGGCCCAATCACTTGCTGAGCCAGGACAGACATCTGTGCTCAGAGGAGGTGGCCCACGCTGGGGGTCAGAGGCAGCTCCATTACTGGTGTGTTGCTGTATAATCTTGGAAGGTATAGATGCGCATGCACGCCGGCCTTGCGGGCATGGATAAGTGTGATGGCTGTGCATGCACACCTGTGTGCAGGTAATGAGGGTGTCTGTGTGTTTTGCAACAGGCTCTGGCTTCCCAAGGGTTCCCATCATCATCACATGTAAAGCCAAGGGATGGATTGTGGAGGCGCACAGCGCCTGTCATGCTTTCTCCAGTCCTCTGTACGTCTTATGAGATAGGCATGATCCAGAACTTTATGCTGTGGTGTGGTGGATGCTTTGTGATAGCCAGACAAAGGCATGGACTTCTGGATATTTTCAGAACGTGCTGCTGTGAGGGAAGCTTTTCTAGGTGGCTCTGAGAATATCACATCTTATTTTAATCATCATCATTATTGTGGCACGTCATTGTTATGGCAGTGCGGATTCTCCCCCTTCCAGCTGATCATCTTAGGGTCACCTGATGCTCTGAGGAATGCCAAAACATGAGAATGTGGGTCCAGGGGAGCACTTTTGTTTGGTGGTGTGATTTCCTTTGCATATTTTTTGCCTTGGTTTTCCTGTTCTGCAGTACAGGGGGCTAACTGTTGAGGGTTCAAGGACTGCTTGAACTCTCATGCATCTCCAGGCAGATGGGCCACTAGCTTCTGCTGCACATTTGTATCTTAAAGGTCCCTTTGACTTTGCTTTATGTTTTGTTCTCAGCTGGTTTTTTCTCTATCAAGTGCCCTTTATTACTATCACATCTAGAAGTTAACTGAAACCTTGAGAACAGAAAGTGGCCTACAGACATAGATGCTCTTTTCCTGCATTTCTTGTGTTTTTGTGCTTTTGTGATTGGTTCCAACAGTATTTTTATAGTGCGTTACTCTGGATGTCTGTGATCTAGAAGTGAAATAAACTGCTATAATATAGTGTTACTTTAATGCAGATTGAAATGCTGAGGGTAAAATGCAGACTCTTCATGAAGACAGCCTGGAAGCTGCAGCTGGTGTGTGCACTTTTCAGAGGTGGCATCCATGCTAATCTGTTGGAGAAAAACTCATGAAGCACCTTCCAATCTCGTTTGTGGTCTTGGGTGCAATACAGCCAGATGAATTTGGTCTGTGCCAGCAGAAGTCCTGCCATTCTAGAAAATGCGGGCTCGTAAATCTGCTGTGAGTGGCTTTAGGGAAACTACGGTCCGGAAAGGTTGCTGTGCAGTGGATTGAATGAATGAATGGCCAGTAAATGGGACACCTGGAGGAATCTCCCACAATTCTCTTTTAAAAAGATGTGTTTTTTATCATCACCACCACAGAGAAAGAGAAAATAGAGACGGTTAGGAAATGTGTATGGATAGATGGGTGGGTGGAACAGTAAGAAAGAAGCCCCAAGACCAGTCCCAAGTTGCTGTAGTTCATAGTAGTCAAGTTCTGTCTAAATTCTTACAGCCCTTCTTAACTTGCAATCCTATGCATGTTTGGACAGAAGGATGTCCTGCATGCTGGGAGCTGTGGGGCTTTTTTCTGTCTAAATAATTCACCCTTAATCACAAATGTAGCCCAGTCTTCCTCTGATGGACTCAGGTTGGCTGTGGCATACACAGATGCAAGCTGGCTTTTCACAACAACCCTGTGAGGTAGGTAAGAGAGCGAGCAAGTGACCAGTGGTCCTTTCAGCGAGTTTATTAGCCGAATTTGAACTCTGCTCCCGCTCCTCACCAGAATCAGCTTTCCAACTACCGGGCTAAGCCGGCTCCAAGGCCTGTTGTGCCAGCCGCCCTCCCAGCCCATCAGCGCCCTCCCTCGGTGCGCAGGGAGGCGCGATGCACGGCAGGAGCGGCAGGGGGCCCCTTCGCGCGGTCCGCCCGCTCCCGCAGCGCGTCCGCGCCCGAGTCCCCGCCACGCCCCCCGCGCACCTGTGCGACCGCCGCCCTGGAGGCACTGCGGGGCGGGGCGCGCTCACACGACACCTGCGGGACTTCGCCGCGGCACTCGCGAGCCGCCAGCAGAGAGGCGGGCCGGGCAGCAGCAGCTCGGCGGCGCTACCGGTGAGCCGCCCTCGGGAGCCTTTACGCGCAGAGCGCCCCGCGGCGGCCTGCTGGGCGACGTGACCTGGTGCTCGGAGGAGAACGACCGGCGCCCCTTCCCATGAGAAGGGCGGCTGCGGCCGCCGCCGAGCCTCGGAGCCCTGGCCGAATGGAGACGCGCGACGAAGAGCCGCGGGGCGCCCCGTCGGAGCCGAAGCCGCTCCCGCCTCTCCTCCGCGAACTGGGCTCCTACGCGGCCCGGGCGCTGCTGTGCCTGGCGCCCGTCTACCTGGCCGGCTACGCGGGGCTCAGCACGAGCTGGCTGCTGATCGGCTTGCTGCTCTGGATGTGGTGGAGGAAGAACCGGCGGGAGAAGCGCTCGCGGCTGCTGGCAGCCTTCGGGCTCGTGGAGGACGAGAAGCAAGCCATCAGCCGCGGCATCGCCCTGCAGCAGCTGCCGGCCTGGGTGAGTGGCCGGGATCCCGCGCGCGGCTTGGCTCTTCCGCCGGCTGCGGAGGACCAGGCGGTGTGACCCGGGGGGCTGCCCTTGTGCCGGCGTACAAAGGGATTCCGCGTGAAATGGGGGGGGGGCGCTTCGGGGCCTGCGTTTGATGAGGCTGAAGTTCGTTCGCACCCCACGCAGGGGCAAAAGCAGCTCTGAGCGGGTCGTAGAGCAGAGCTGGGGCCAGCCCATCTCGGGCAGCTGGACAAATGCTCTGGCTTGGAGTTGCCAAGGCAGGCGATCTTCCTGCGGAGCCTAATTTTCCCGGGTGGGCTTGTGCCATTGCGGGGTCGGCGGAAAAGTGAAATCGGGGGCAACAAAAAGCACAAATCCATTTTATGGTAACGAAAGAATCCTACACCCGCTTATCTCGGAATAAACCTACTGAACTGAATGGGATCATCTTCTCAGACTTGTGCAGAATTGTGCTGTAAATAAAAAAGAATCTGGAATACTAAATATGAAGCTCTATTACGGCCATCCACCGATGCTGTATTCTCAGTCTCCATTCAATAGTTTATTGGCCACATTATTTTTTGTAACTTTACAAGTCAGCCCAAACAGGTGTCAAGCATTTTTAATGATTGTCATTGGCTTTTAAAAATATTTTAAGTTACTTAAATGCCCCTTTACATCTTCTGTGATTAGAAACCGTCCTGTTAAATGTAAAACTTCTGTGTGTGTGAGGGGGGAATTCAGGCTTCAGTTCTGAATGTCGTTACCTGGGAGTAAGCCCCATTGAAGTTGGTTGTTTATCCCACTCCTGTGGGTGCTTCTCCAAGGCTGAAGGTGGTTTACAACTGTGTTAAGAAGAGCATCAAAGATAAAATACTGATCCAGCCATAATATTTGCAGGTATGGCTGGTACCTGTCCTTGGTTGTGAAGGTTAGCTTTGTTTTTGATTGGCTGCCCTCAATAATGAAAAGATGGTATAGAAAAGTTGCTAGCATACAGCATGTTTTGTGAAAAGGGAAACTATGACATGAAGGGCTAAATTAGATTAAAATTTCCAACTGCAGTCACAGGGCAATGCATTCAGGAGACATAACGTACTATATTCTAAGAAACTGTATTACAAGAAACCTTAAATGACCTATATCATATGACAAGTTTATTCAATAATAACTATTTTAATATAACATAACAAGGTGTGTTTGGTTTTAAATGTCAACCGTATTAGAGGCATTGTTAGTTCTTAAGGGCACAGTCCTTTTCCAGTGTGGAGTAATGGTTAAGATTGTGGCCTGGGACTCGGGTGACCTGGGTTCTAGGCCCTGCTTGGCCATGGGGCCAACTGGGTGACTTTGGGCCAGTCACAGACTCTCAGCCCAGCCTACTTTGCAGGGTTGTTTTGTGGGGATAAGATGGAGAGCAGGAGGAGGAGAATGATGTGATTTACTCTGAGTTCACTGTAAGAAGAAAGTGGGATATAAATCTAATACATGAATAAATAAACCTGCAAAGAACTGTGCCCTTAAGATCACTGGTTCTTCTACTCTTGGCCAATGTGAAATACAGAAGTGTTGGTCAAGTGGACACTTCTTGTCCAAGATGGGTATGAACAGTGAGGCAACTGAATCGCCTGTCAGACTATGGTGATGACTATAAATGTACTAAAATGTATGTACAGTTGAGTGTTGGAGGCCATGCCCTTTGTGTAAGAATCGTAGCTCACAGACTTTGAATCCTAGACTTCTGGGGTGAATTAACTCTGATCAGTAAGCCCTGATAATTAAGACCTTCTAGTACATGTTTATTATTCCTTGAGGGTCAAGCTAGGAGTGATGGTTAAATGCACAAAATCTGCATTTCCCCATAAAGCAGAGGCCACTGTGGTTGTTAAGTAGATTGCATGAGGGGCTGATAACCGAGGGGGGCAGCCAGCTGCCTGTGGGAAGTCCACAAGCAGGCCATCGCGCATGCCCCACAGAGGCTGCAGGGAGATCGCCTTCTGGGCATTTCCTGTCATCACTGCAAGTCTTGATGTCATATTGCACATACATCCTTGTAATGCTGCATAGTCACTGGTATTTGAACCTAGGAGCCAAGTACCAAGGTTTTAAATATCAACAGGACTCAAAAGTATTTTGTATTCCTCAGTGTCGGCAACATAACTGTAGGTGCCTGGGAATTTTCTAGCTCTGCTTAATAATCAGGGCAGGATAAAATGGATTTGGCTAGTATGAGAGAGTGGTTAGAATTTTTTTTAATGGTTGGATACTACGTGAACCAAGATGTCCTCATTTGGTTTTAGTGTTTTCCAAATGTTCCTTTTTAAAATTACAGCAGTGTGTTAGGCTGCTGGTTAAAACACACACCAAAGCATCAGCACATGTTACTGAATAAACTGTGGCTGGACTACCTGATTAATTAAGCATGGGATGCTGCTAGTAAGTGAAATATTTTTAATACCAGACTTAGCTGTGGACGACATAGCACAAACATTGCCTCTGAGCCCACGCAGAGTCCTTGTTCTTGACCGCTGACTGAATAACTTGAACCAGGATCCTGTTCATCATGGAACAGGGGTATTGCTCCTCCGTTAAAGGATGACCTTCAAGGGATATCTCAGTTTATAATCAGAACATATATGATACAAAAACCTTGCTGAAGCTGAGCAGGTCAGTGTCTGGTCAGTGTCTGGATAGGAATCTGCCTGGCAGTCCTCTGTAGTACTACCCTGATATTCTCGACAGAAGGCAAAGAGGACATAAGCATAGTAAAATAGCTTTGTATAACTCTATAAGGGCAACCAACAACTCAAACACTTCAAATGTACAGGTCTGAGTCAACTTTCCCAGACTTCTTGGGGACTACTGCTCCTATCATCCAGCCTGTAGGACAGGAGCTGTAGTCCAACTCATCTAGAGGGCGCCAGGCTGAGACACGCTGATTGGACTCATCCACATTCTGAAACACTTTCCCGTCTGACATACCTGAATGTTGCATATCCAGTCCTAATGCCTTTTGAGCCCCTCCTTGTTTCAGTCAGTATAATGCAGAAGGTGGACAACCTCCTCCTTCAATAAAAAATCTTATGTAGCAAAGGCGGAAGGCGTTGTCAGTTATACATAACTGAGAATTTATGGCATCATAGAAGGAATGTTATACTTTCAGAAGAAAGTGTTTAAACACCCAGTGCTTCAGTGTGACCTCTTTCCCTCTGAATGACGCATAGACTGCCTCAAGAAAACAACGAGGGTACAGATACAAGTCTAGGTAGGCTAAACAACCTAGCCTGCATCCGTTGCATCCGTTAGGCCCACTTAGAGCTGGGCTTGCCAGTCCAGAATGGGCCTTTTCTGGGTGAAATGCTAAGTGTGTTTTTGAACTTGTAACGCTTTCTTGAAGCAGGACTCCTTCCACCCCATTTCTTGGAACCAAAAAACCCAAGTTCTTGAACCAGACCTGTCAGGCATCTGGCTGGCTTTAGTTGCAAGGCTGGAATTTTCACATATGCTCATATTTTAAGAGAGTGTTATTTGTATGCAATATGCAGGCAGTTCATTTATTTGCATATCGTATATGGGCAGTTCTAAAATCCTTGCCATAAGTGATATGCTGCTGTTGTGCTCCAGCGAAGGTCATGACAGGCAGAGTGGTCTGTTCCAGTGACTAGCAGATTTCAGACTTCTGGCCTCTGTTTAGTTGCCTGTTGGTAAAGATACATTAGCTTCTACACCCTGGCACCTATATGTTGAGTTTGTATCCCTATACAACTCAAATCTGAGTCTGTGTTACCCAACTCAAGGATTCTAACAACAACAACAACCAAACTCTCCAAAACTGGCCATCAGAGCTGCACCAGGGCAACCTGTTCCTATTCCTGCCTTTGAGGTAAGCAGCTCTGAGGCTGAGGAGAAAGCAAGAAGCACCAACAGGGCCTCCTCAGAACATGCTGCCGCCTGAGGTGGAGCAGCAAACGCCACGGCCACTGCCTTTGTTCCCTCTGGTGCACCAACCTAGAAGCTATCTGGCCCTCTTACCCCGTAATGCCTCATTCTGTGGAAGGCCTCCACCTCGTGAGGCAGGGTGTTTATTCAGAACAAGGCATCAGGAAGGGGCAAGGGGGCTTTGGGAGTGCCATCAGCCACTTTCCTTCTGCAGCAAAACTACTGCTTAATGTCTAAGAGCTCGCTGGTGCGCTTTAGACAGTGTTTTGCCAGCAAAACAAAGTAACATTGGGGCTTCTAGTAGCAGCCCAGTACAGTGAGGGCAAGCACCCAAGTCAGGCATGGCTACACTCTTGTCAAGAACCCAAATCCCAGTCGAGCCCTCCGACAGTGGCCTCCTGGGCTTTTCCCTCTTCACAGTTGCAATCTGATGGCTTCACTGCCTGGTCCAGACAACAGTGGTGATGAGGAAGAGGAGTGGCAGGTGCCCCGGCCTACTTCTCACTGGCTTTCTGCTTGTCGGGCATGCAAGCGGCAGCAGTTATGAGAGAGTGGATGAGGAGTGAGAGCAGCTGATGAGAATGGCAGTGAGGGATTCGACTCACTCAGGGAGGGGGCCGTTGTCTGCAGGGCCTTTCTTGTGATTTGTCTGCAGGTCTTTCAAACCCTCAAGCTGCCACTAGGCAGGAGAGTACCTAGCCCTGGTCTTTTCTTTCTTGTCTGGAGGCAAACAAGCTGATGGTTCTGCAGGCAGCTGCTGAGTGGAGAGAGAAGGGTAATCGGCCACCCCAGGTGATCGGCAGCCTGAAACAAGGCATTTACTTGGCTTCGTGGAAGGACTACCTTGAGCAACACCTGTCACAAGTTTTTCTTTGAAATTTTGATTTCTGCTGTTATAACTATTGAGAATCAGAAATCCAAAATGTAAAGTCAATCAAGAACCAGCAACAGACCTTGATCTTGTCCCAGTGTGGTACCTCTGTAGAAGTACCAAAATAATAGCACAATGATTTGCTTGTCTGCTCAGAAGTAAGTGTTGCTGTGGCTAGTAATACTTATCCCCGAGTAAGTAAGCCCAAGAACTTAAGCAATTGGCCAAAATGGGCATCTAAGGTAGTTGATAATTAAGAATGCAGCTTAACTCCCTGGTGTTCCTAGATAATTTTCTTCGCAGACAATCCTATCTGTATTTACTTCCTGAAACACTTCCAGCCCAGTTTTTGCAGGTTGTAGCATCTGTTGCCAAACAGGCAAGGGAAAGCTAGCATAAGAGGAACATTTGTTTCCCCTGGGGCGAAATGCTTCTCTTTTGGTCTGCACCTATGAATTTGAATGGCTACTGTAACAGTCATATCAAGGGGAAGGAAGAGTTTAACACAGACTAGAGGCCTTTATGCTTCTGGATGCTTTATTCACTGGCCTAGCATAAAACTGTGGAAAGGGTGTCAGGAAAGTACACAGAGTCCAGTACACAGACTGAAGCTGCAACAATTTATATGGGGCAGAACATGAATTGCTAAAGTATGCTACCAGAAATAAATATCCAGTTCCAGCTGGACCATCCTTTCCCTACCACAAGGCCATTCAACTCTTAACTTCCAACGCTAACTGGTTCAAATAGCCTTTGAAGAATATTGTCAAAAATGGGATTGAACTCTATTACATAAATTTATTTTTCTATAAGGGTTTGAAATCTGCTTAGCTATTATGGCTTCTTTCAAAAGAGAAAACAACTCCTGGGCATTTCTGGTATTTGGCATTTATAAATTTGATCAAATAGTATCAGCTGACACTGAAGTATAGAACAAACTTGGATCACCTCTTATACCTGCTACACGTTTTGTATCTTTGCTGGTGTTTTGCAGAACTAGTTCCATTTGTGTACCCATACATTGTGGTCCCTTTTGGATTAAACTTGTCATCAGTGATAGTGAAGGTGCTGAGAATTGTCTGATTCACCATGGGTCTCCTTACAGGACTAAATGCCCACCTTATCTGCTTTTACCTTTTGTTTGTTTGTTTGTTTTTATGTTCTTCATGCTTGTAAGAAGTAATTGGCTGCCTTTTAAAATGTTGGCTGCCTTTTATGAACCTTTTGTTCATAAACTGAACAAAAAATCAGAAACAGCTGCCCAAAATATAATCATATGCACAGCACAACATAGCTTTGATGTCAGTGTGTCTTTTGGTGTGGTGGCTTAGAGACTGCACTGCATTTCAAGAAATCCCAGTTCAGGTTTTTTCTTTGCCTTGAACTGACTAGATGCCCTTAGGGCATTCATTGTCTTGCACCCTGGTCCCTGTCCCTGCAGTTCAGGAGTTCATCAGACAGACTTGCCTTGCAGACCATGTGAAACAGGTTAAACACTTGAAAGCATGATACGAATGCTATTGCCCTACCCTTACAATGCTCAGATCAGTGTAATATATTCTGAATGTTTTATTGGGCATCTGAAACGCAATCAGGCCCAGGCCTTCTATTGAGTCCATGTCCAAAACAGCTCCCCTCCAGAGAAAATGGTGGCCTTTTTAATTAGGATGTTCGACCACCAAGATCTAGGCAGAAGTCATCCTCTTCATAGCATGGTTGTATGATGCAGCACAGATGTGTGTTGAAGATATAACATGGGGCTGTCTTACATCCTTGTGTAATGGGTTGTTATAGATTTCAGTATGAATCACACACTACAAAGAGTGTTGATCCCCTCATGAGGAGCAGACAATCAAGGTAGAATGTGTCATTGGCTTCTTGTGGTGTTTGTCACTTTCATAACTAAATGTTAATAGCATTTGATCTCCATTACTGCCCCTTAAGTGAGCCACATGGAAATGCAGTGAAACCCACCCTGGAATTCCATTCTGTCAGGTAAGGGAAGAACAGAGCAGCTTAAAATGGCCACTAGAGAAACATTACTTGTTCTTGTCTGAAGAAAAGTGTGTCAGAGAATGTATGCTTGAATTGATAGTTAATCTGGGTACTTAAATGGGCCCTTTGCACTTCATGCCAGAGATGGAACATGGTTCTTATGACTAAAGCTGTCTAATACTAAGTCACACTTGTTCCATGTGACCCACTATGACCTACACTGATGGGCTGGAGCTCTCCAGTCCTGTTGCTTAATTTCCTTCTAATTGTAGATGCCAGGGACTGGGTAATGTGAGCTGCTGCTTGAAGGAAACTTAGAGAGTCCCTTTGGACTACCGATTACTGGAATATAAATTTCGTGATAGAGAGACAGACAGACAGACAGACAGAAAAGTAAAAGTGGATTCAGTACTGAAGCCAATTCAGTGGTAAGCCCTTCATGGGCTGCACAATTTCAGACTGCAAATACAAGTATTTGAATGTTCTCCCACCTTAAACATGGCCAGGTAGTTGACACCCATCCATCTACCCCACCCCCTGTAGGGACTGGGTTTGCTTCTCCCAAAATGCAGCATTCCAGAGTGATTACCCCAGAGTCTGAACCTGAACTGGAACAAGGGTGGGGGGTGTCAGAATTCTTAGCTGAAATGGCAAGGGCAGCAGGCCTAGCTAAGTGGCTGGTGAGAATCAAACCACATCTGGTTCTGGATTAGACATTAATGAAGAAGTAGGGCCAGAGAGGGACAAATGTAACACAATCACATTTTCTGGCACCAGATCAAAAGAGCAGACCAACAGAGTCATCTCCAAAGTTCCTACTGTCTGCCTCCCAAGCAGTGGGACCTCCCTGAGGGTGAAACTTACTCTGTTTGGTTGGGAAAGGAGGATGGGAATACAGTTTAGAACCAATTTCTTGGCGTGAGTGGTAATCTCTCTGATTATCTGGCTTCCTAACCTGCTAATGACCTCTGCAATATTGCTTTTTTATCACAAAGCCCACCTGGCTAGTCTGCTTTAACCTAATAAAGCATGTAGTTAAATGCCTCTTGCCTGATCTGCTTGGAAGGAGAAAGGTGATGAGGGAAGACTGGCCATAAACACTCCTTCTTGGGAGCTCAAACTGCTTCATTAGGATAGAGCACAGGAGAAAGAGGGTGAAGAAACAAGAGGAAAAGGTGAAAGCATCAGCCTGGCATTTGGGTTTGGAGGGCTGGGCTCACATTACTGAAAAGTTTGCTTTGGTATCCACTCATTTACTGTTTGTTTGTTTGGTTTTTTTTTTTGGGTATATTGCCAAGATGCTACAGATGTCCTGTCTTCCGAAGCAAATGAACTAAGACTACAATCCTATGTATTTACCTTGGAGTAACTCCCACTAACTCAATATGCCTTGGGTTTGAAATGGCATGTTGTTGGTAACAAATTTGCACTCCTTGGAGAAGAAAAATCTCAAAGAATAATATTTCTTCAATATTTTCCAATTATATTCTCACAGAGTTTCCTGGAAGCTAGCTAATAAGCATACAAACATACCAATTCCAGCAGAAGCTCTCCATGCGCTCATTCATTACACATTCTTTTGTGTTGAAAAGTGCTGGCTAATTGTATCCTGCACCACAGCCTTCTCGCTGGTGTCTTGTTAGTCCTGTACTCTTAATAGCTTCTTGTCTGTTAGCTCACTTAGTAAAATGGTTTCTCATCTCACTGTTGTTTGCCTTTACCTGCCAGGTTCATTTCCCTGACGTCGAACGGGTAGAATGGCTGAACAAGGTAATGTGGAAATGAGCTCTATCTGGGCAAGCATGCATATCGGGCTTACTCGGCTTTGAAGCTGGATTTGTAAATTGGCTCATAAATATCCAATGAATGTACTGTTTGTTCTAATAAGTGAGTGGATTAAATATATGTGTATGTTGGTGTGCATATCAGGGCTTGGTTTGGAGCTTGTTGATCAAAATCTGTGTTTAGTTGAGAAAATATGTTAGCTCTTGTGCCTGTAAATCATCTTCCAGAATACATAAACACTGAGACGTTGCATCCGTTCTTCATTCTTAGTAACAGTATACGGCATTTGTATATTGCTTGTTGGTATCCAAAGGAATTTACTTTCATTTTCTCATTCCCTATGACATCCTGTAAGGGGAAAAATTCTGAAAGATGGTGGAGGACAGGAGAGCCTGGAGGAATGTTGTCCGTGGGGTATGATGGGTTGGGCACGACTTTGTGACTAAACAACACACAAAGGAGAAAAATCCTGCTATCTTCATCTCTCCAGTGTTGCAGCGGGGGTCTGAGAGGAGCCCTGCTCTGTCAGCTGGACCCGTGGTCAAGGAATGCTCACGAATGGGTGGGGGCATGTCTGTGACTGTCTCGCTGGCTCCCAGGCGCTCACCCGATCTTTTGCACAGAGGCTCTGTGCATCCAGGGGGTGCGTGATGGGGACAGGGCCAGGGAGTATCATCCTGACTCTTCTTCCAGAATTGGTCCACGAAACTTGGCTGAGCAGTGGTAGGACTTCAGGGCAGAGCTCCAGGGCTGCTCTTTGCAAAATGAGCAGGAAGGCATCCAAAAACAGCTGGGCTAGTTTGCAATATTCTGAAGCGAAGTGAAGTACATCACCATCTAAAGCACACACCTGCATGATTTTATTTATTTATTTATTTATTAAAACATTTTTATGCCGCCCCATTCACCGAAGCCTCGGGGTGGCTTACAACACTAAGTTAAAATAATTATAATATAAATTGAAAATATAAATATTAAATTAAAAATACAACAATGATCAATAAGTCCAGGGTCTAAAATTATCTAATTGCCTTACTGTGCCTACAGTTGCCACAAGAGAGTGTTCATAGCAGAACCAAGAACTGCACTGGAAATTTCCTGGTTCACAGTTCGCTTTCCTAGCTACTAAATTGTGGCGGCTTTCAATGTAGAAAGGACAACACACAAATCCTGGGGTGGAAAACATTACACCATGGGCAATTTTATACAGTCCATGGGATTCTTCCAGAAATGTGATACCTCAGGTTTTAGACAAATTAAAACATGTGAATTTGAGTTGCAAGCTTGAAAATTACTATTCTGAGTGAGCTTATTCCATGGTTTGTAGAAAATTGCTTATTTTACCTGTTCTGGAGCTGGCTGGGAGAGCTTTTTCTTCTAGTGGTAAGGCAAAAATCAACATGATCTTCATATACCTAGTATTTTCTGTCTTCCATGTATATTCACTGTAGAACTTGACCTATTGCCTACCTTCTAGAATTTTTAGAAACTAAAAAGCAGCTGGCTTGCTAGCTTTAGTTTAAAGCAGGGGTGCTTAACCTCTTTCATTTGAGGGCCAAATTCAACTTCAGAAAAACTCTTAGAGGCCATGTTCTAGTGGTGGGTAGAACTGAAGGCAAAAGTTGAGGGCAAAGGCAAAATGACTAGACCGAAATACCAGCATATTTTAGCTGTAAGCTCTTTCTTCTAGTAACTAAGCAGAAGAGATGTGTTTCAAACTTTTAGAACGGGAAAAATCTGTGCAAAATCAGGACACCAAACGATCCATCCTTGGGGCAAAGGGGTGGAGCCAGGGGAAGGGGTGTGGTCTTCTGGGGATCCCTGGAGTGCCATACTGTGGACTTAGGTGGGCAGGGTTTGCCCTGTGAGCCTTAGGTCCAGCGCCCTTAGCTTAAAAAGTCTGACCTGCTGCTGTGATTTCATTGTATGGCATTAAGCTGTCATTTTTTCTAAGTCTGGGTTGTACTCTGTTTAGGTTGTTGAACAGGCTTGGCCATACTTTGGAACAATCCTGGAAAAAACATTTAAGGAAGTTGTTGAACCAAAAATCAGAGCCAAGCATGTGCATTTGAAAACCTGTACATTCACCAAAATCCACTTTGGAGACAAGGTAAGAAGGTGACAGTAGAAGTGAAAACCCAAGGAAGGTGATATTGAGACAAGTGGCATGTATTATTGCTTTCCTCCTCCTCCTCTTCCTCTTCATCATCGATGCATTCCATTCGCGGCTCACCTTTCTTCTGTTCACAAAGAACCCAAGCCGGCTTACAAACTTGTGAAGTAGGCTAGGCTGGGTGGCTGTGGCTGGCCCAAGCTCACCCAGTGAGACTCCTGACTAAGTGGGGCTAGAACCCAGGTCTCCCAAGTTCCAGTCCAGCGGTCTAACCACTACACCACACTGGCTGTCAAGGAATGTAAACCCATTACCTTGTTAGGACTAACCACTGTGAACTGTTGTTGTGGGACATTCTACTCTCCACCACTTGCCCCAATTCCAGATATCTTGACTCAGTGACAGCAGTCAAGATCTGTTTTCACTGGCAACCAAGGATCAAGATTTGAGGTGGCTTTTCTCCATTTATTCAAAGCACACAAGTTGCTCTGTCTCTATAGGTTGCTTAATTCAAGAAAAAATTCAACAAGAACACTACTGCAATATATGGTTCTGCCTTAAATTCTCTAATCACACTTATCTAATTAATGTACATTAATTAATACTGAGTAATCCAGACTTGAAATCAAAATGCCTATTCTCTAGGAGGATTTTTTAAAAATTTAGGATGCCCCAGTGCCATTCCGATTTAAAGCTAGCATTTTGGCAGGGCTTGAAAGACCAGTGTGCTGGCACTGTCTTGCTCCCTTCAGCCCTAATTTTGTTTACAGAAAATAATAGGTCTTTTGGGTCCGATGTTTGAGCATTCTTGCTTGTTCTGCAAATGATAAGGAAACGTTTAGGTGTGCTAGTCATTGCAACAGTGACCAACAATGCTTTGCATGCTTTGGTTGCTTGTTTTTCAGTGCCCTAAAATCAAAGGAGTGAAGGCCTATACCAAAGAAGTTGATAGAAGACAAGTGATCCTGGACGTGCAACTATGGTAAGCTTTCCTATATCTTATCAGTGGAAACTGTCTGATCTGCTAAATTCATTATGTGGAGGCCAAATAAATCTTTGTGTGAGCTGGCTCAGGCACATGCTGGACTGTTTGCTTTCTGAAAAACAGTGCCATCAAATATGAAATATAACCGTTCTGATGTAGAATTTGTTCTATTCTCCTCCTTACCACAGAGGTTTTTGACTTTAGAGAGGAGGATGCACTGAGATACTCTTGAAAATAGTTTGGAGAAATGCTGAGTCCATTAGGAAGCATCTTGCATTACTACTCATTTAATGAAGGTGGAGATATGCAAGGATGCAGTCTCTTTGTTTGGATATGACCTTGTTCCTCTTGTACTAAAAAGGGGCTGAGAAAGTAGAAGCTACAAATATCTATGTAAATATCTGCGTACAGATTGCTTTCCAGTGTACTCTAGTTGCATGGATCAGTGTAGGAGGCCAGTTCCTAATAGCATCTAGCCTTTATAAGGTGCATTTTATTATTAGTCTTTCTGCTCAGCAGTGAATATGCCTCATCACATGATGAGACACTGGACAGGATGGGCTCTCCTGGCTGTGTTTGGAGCTTGGGGCATTTGCAGGAATCGCAGGATGATCTTGTAGCATCTGAGATCTAGCTTGTGTGGTTGCGGAGAAAGATGTGAAGATTTGTGAGTAGTGCCTGTGGGCACTTATAACCAGATTTATCTCTGTTTTGCACAAGTGAAGAAGAAGCCGCAGAGTCTTCTGTTAAAGAATTCAGCATCCTGAGAATCTCAGCTCTTTGGGTTCATAGCCCTTAGGGTTAAAAACAGCCTTAAAATGAGAGTGTGTAACTTGTGGCTATCCAGATGTTATTAGACTCATATTCCCATCCTTTCTCACCATTAGCTATGCTGGCTGGAACTGATATGTGCTGCCATCCAAAAACATCTGGAGGGCCACAAGACACATCAGCCCTTGTCAGCATAGCCAAAGGTGAGGGATCCAGATGGGAGATCCAGCCCAAGACCAACTGGAAGGTCCAAAGTTGCCCACCATTGCTTGAAAGAATGCAATGAATTGTGTGACCAAAAAGCTCATCTGAATTCTCCCAAGGTCTCCTTGAGTAAGGTGAAGTGATGCTACAACAATCAACCGCACCCCACACACACTCGTCAGAGCAATATGGCAGTGGAACCAGCTGCCTAGAGAGGAGCTGGGCTCTCCCACACTAGAAACATTCAGAAAGGAACTGGACAGCCATCTGAGTGGGAAGGTTTAAATTGGTGTCCTGCAACAGCAGGAAGGTGGATCCAGTGGCCTTCATAGCCCCTTTCAGCTCTAGTATTGTATGATTCCATGCCTGCATTTTATTGAGTGTTGTTTTTACTTTAAAGTGCAGTTTCCAGTAAAGCTACGTTTTGTAAAGTATTGTACAAATGCTGGCTTGTTCAAGCCATTCCTTTCTGAATTGTACTTTGTGGAAATACTTCAGGAGGGTAATGTGTTTGGCAGTGAACAGTACTGGAGAACTTTCTGTCACCAGGCCACACATGCAATGGAGAGGGAGAGAGCAAGAGCGAGCAAGCGAGAGAGGTGAGCGTGTCCTCAGAGATTGGGTTTGAGGGAGGAGGTAGCTTTCCATTACAAATAGGTCAGTCCTGCTTGTCTGGTATCCACAGTGCTCCTTATGACTCACAGAGGATGCGGTTGTGAGTTCACCTGCTAAAGTAATAAGCAACAGTCCCACTCGGGGGAGGATTCAAGTGGACAGAAAAACCAGCTCATCCAGTTAAGCCTTACCCTGTGAATTGGGAGTAGGTGCCAAATCATTCCTGCAGTTCTGAGAAAAAGTGGGAGCAGCTGGAATTTTCTGTTTGCACCTGTCATGGCCATGATGCTTCATTTCTTTCAGTGCTGCTGAATCTGACCAAAAAGGCTGTGCTAGTTCAATGTGTGGAAATACACCTTCCTGTTTATTTCTGTTACTGTGCTTTTAATTTTGTGTTATTTCTTTTCATGGCTTTTATTTTTTTTCTTTTAAAAAGAAAGACCTACACTGGTTCTTTTTATTGTTAGCTGCAGTGAGCATCTCTTTTTTGCTGGACATGTGAGATATAAATTGAACAAATAAATTACTGCCAGTATTTTGGTGGTTGGGAAAGAGGCTGCTAGTTTTTAGTGCTAATCAGACATTTTTCTCAAGTTTGCTTTTTTTGTTTCAGTGAGAAAGTTGCTGTTTTGTGAGAAGTAAAAGAGCCTGTGGAAGGGAGGGAATCTCTTTTATATTCATATAAAATATGGTATATAAATATATATTTACCACAGCATTTGTTTTACTGACCTGTCACTGTTTTGGTGCCACTTAAAAAAAAAGAAAGAAAGGGCTGCTTTCAACTGATCAGAGAGCACATAGTAAACATGAGGATGTGATGGGTCTATGTAGGCAGTCAGACTTATTTATTATTTATTTATTTAAAATATTTATATGCCATCCTATTCGCAAAAAGCCTCAGGATGGCTTACAGCATAAAATATAAGATAAATAAATTCCTGACCCACACTGGCTGCAGTTAAAAACATAGAAAAGACAATATTAAAACTTATTAAAATATTGCTGGAATAAAAAGGTCTTAACCTGTCGCCGAAAAACAAATAACGACGGCGCCAGGCAGACCTCTCTGGGGAGCGCACTCCATAGATGGGGTGCCACCGCAGAGAAAGCCCTCCTCCGGGTACTCACCCTCCTAATATCATTCACGGGGGGTTCCTGGAGGAGAACCTCTGCTGCCGATCTCAAGGGGCGGGAGGGCAAATATGGAAAATGGAAATTCTATTATATCCAGACTTGGTTACATTATGACTTCATTTAAGGCTGACTTTCTACCATATGTGGTGGACTTGTGAAATTATTACATGCTCTTGGAAGTTGATACATGTGGAAATACAAAAAACCTTTAAAGTTCCCTATGAGTCCTAAGAATATGCTTTTGAACAAGATGCCAGACACTTTTTCAAAGAACATGTCAGAGTTATTCAAATACATGGTAACTGCAGCAAAAATGACAATTGCTTCTAAATGGAAAACACCAGAATGCCCAACAATCAAAGATTGCATACTCTGCCAACTTATTTTTCCAATGATGGCAAAATTAACTAATTAGGTAAACCGTAGACTGATTCAAGAATCGAAGAATTTAATGGAAAATGGAAATTCTATTATATCCAGTATAATTAAGATGATACAAAAGGAATTTTGTTAAAATATTTTTGATGATTTATAATTGATTTGAAACAATTGGAAAAAATTGTCAGAGAGCTATAGTCATTTTTGGGGGCTTCAGTACATTGACAGAAAGATAGAATTTTTTTGGTCTCTTTGGAAATATGCAGGTATTGCTTAACTTGATTAAAATCCCTTGGCAATTTTATTTTACTTTTTTTTCTTATACCGTTTTTCTTTCGATATCTTATTTTAAGAAAACAATAAAAATTAGAAAGGAAATATGATAACCCACCACCATGAATTTGGCTCAATACTGCCAGGTCCTTATTTTCCTAGATCTTTGCTTGTTTGTTTTGCATTTTCATTGTTTATCATCATGCAACTTTTGTTTTAGTCCAGTGGGGTATTGACAGTCTCTGTTTGTTTCTGCCTGTGACTGATTCTGATTAATCGTTTCAGTGCTGTATGTTGGAATGTTAAAATTAACAGTTTGAAAACTGCATACATCTTTGTAGTACTCATGATGTTGCATTACTTTTGGTGCTAGCCTTGCTGTTGCATGGCAACATTATTTTATAATTTGTCTATTACTGATATGATCTTCATGGCTAAAAGATAAAGGATAAAACTGGGAAACTAATAACATGCAGGGTGCTGTAGTACCATCTCAGTGTTACTTAATTTGAAGCAATGTAATAAAATAGTCACATTTATTAGTATGAGCACAGTTTGTGGAAAATAACAGCTGCAATAATTACTGTGTGATTTCTCCTCACTTGGCAGATATGATGGTATTTTAGCTTTTCTGGTGCCAGCAAACTTCACTGGAAGGAATGGTGCCGAAAATGTTGTTTCTGCTCAGTTTCTAGTATGCCTTGCAATCCTCACAAATCAGTTAGAAAGCAAAGTGTGTGGCTGCTTAGTTCATTTGGGCATTGAAACCATGAGCACACTTACAAAGTGATTCATGCACCTGCCCGGCAGGTTACAAGAGCTGATTGACACATGATAAGTTTAATTGCATGTGTCTCGTGCTATGACAAGGTAAGTGTTTTGCAAAAGACAAATCACATCAAATACATGTGTAGGTATCGTGCTCCTATGACCATGCAAAACTTACAAACAGCCTAAAACTTATCCTTTATGTGCAACAAACCCACCTTTTTACCAAACTATCCCTGCTTCTTATCTTTGTAGATATCTCTGGCTTTTGCTTCTGATTTGATATACAACCAAATCACTATGTGGTCTGTGAGATGTGGTAGCCCAGCCTGTCCTTAGCTTCCTCCATAGTTTGGATGGAGCAGTTCCGGGCAATGTCATGGTAGGGTTGTAACAAGATTTCTGTGTGTAAGGACAAAGTAGAGGAGGCCAGAACTGTTATTACCAGCTATTACTAGGCTAGGGGAACTGCTGCTTCTCATGACAACCATGTATTCTTCATAACAGCTGGTTTAGATCTAAAGACAAGAGCCGCTTGCTCTTCTATTTCCCCTGCCCTTTCTCATAATACACATGAGCTTTCACCTTATTATAGGTCCTGCAACCACTGGTGTGTTGAACACCAAACACATTTTCTCACTCCCCTGTTAGTTCTAAATTCTTGCATTAAACAAGTGGAAACAAGCACTTTCAGACTCTACCACTCACTCACTCTGTCTTTCTTCTGCTACTCTCTCTACCTGAATAATTTTCCCTTCTTGACTTGATGTGATACTTTCCTCATATCACCACTTTTAAGAATTAGAAAGTATCTGAGAGATAGAAAAGAAAGTCTGTAATTCACCTACTTCCCAAAACAGAAGGAATAAGAAAATTCTTAATGGTATTTGATCAGAAATTTTACAGACTTTTATTGTTTTGTTGTTATTGCAAGTTTCAATAAAACAATCCCATAAAAAGGAAAAAGAAAATATATATCTGTAGGTCTCTTCATCGATTTAAAAATATTTGTGGACTTTATTCAGGCAGAGAAAGTAAGAAAGTTAATATCACTCCTTTCTGGAGTTTCTGGAAACTCAAAGAAGTGTTGAAAGGGAGGAGGACAAGTGTCAGTTCAGCTCTTAAAATCAAGAGGATTACTCTGCCAAAAGGGAGGCATTACCCCTCTCACACACTTTTTGGTGGTTCCCCACCTTTACCAGTGCTTTCTAGGTGATATTTTAACATTTGGTCCCTGGCAATCATGCACAAATTAACCTATATGCAGTCTTTGTCAGTTTCCTTGTCTGTTACCTGTTCTTTGCTGCTCCCTTATGACAGCTGTAATGGATGAGGAAATAGATCAAGCAAGACTACAAATGGGCAGTTGTAAGTGTTTACTTAAGAAAACAAAACAAAAATTTTTAAAGGTGAATACAGTTGCAAATTTTCAAGGGCTGAAAAGGAAATTTGATCCTAGTTCTGCTTTTTTTGAGGCTCCAGAAAATAAAAAAACTAAAAATGACAGAAAACAGAAAGAGGTAGAGACCAGAGTGGGTAAGGCAAAGCAGGTCAGGTTCTGCCAAGGATGCTTGGATATTTGCCAAAGGCAGCTACTGGACTGATGCAAAAGTGCAGGAGAACAACCCACGGTCAATCATCTGCTGGCCAAAAATGGGTTGTTCAGCACTCAGCCAATCCACTGTGGCTTATTCACAGAAAGGCCTCGTAGGAGGTCCAAATCCCAGGCCCAGAGACAAGCTAATGCGAACTTTTTCTCAGTTATATAGGGGACTGTGAAATTCACATGGAATTGTCCAAGATTAAAGTTGGAATGAAAGGAATACAGGTGGGTACAGCACAATTTACATTTATTGAACAGTTTGAAACACTTCATACATTCCACTTCCTGGAAGTTAATAAAATGCTGCTTTCCCCTTCCTCTTCCACCAGCTGTATGGAACATTACGAGTGATACTAGAGCCGCTACTGACAGAATTGCCTTTCTTTGGAGCTGTTACCATGTTTTTCATCCAAAAACCTGTAAGTCAACTGTCAGTTCTTATCTCCTTTTGATTTACATATTTGCTCTCTTCATTTTATCAGTAGCTGTTCTACTGGAGCTGTGAATGGTGTTCTTGTAAAGTAAAGAATTTGTGACTGTTGTCCCTCTACCCAGCATTGTTAACAGACGCAAGCCCTAGAAAAAGAAAGATGGCTTGGAAAGAGACTAGTAAAGTGTGACCAGCACTGATGCTTTGCAAATGACACAGACAGAACTGATTCTATTAGAGACAACTGTGTTGTTCTTGTACCAAATGAAATTTATTAAAGTGTTTCTATGCTGCCTTTCATGGTAAAGCCCTCCCAAGAAGGATCATAAAAACATAAGAACTAGAACAAATATCTTCATAGTACAAACTAAAATTGCAGCCTCCAAACCTGGTATAGCTGAACCTAGTAATCATGTAAAACAATTAAAAGAAATGTGATACTTATTAAACAATTAAGGGTGCAATCCCATGCAATTTTAGACAGGGAAAAAGCCAGCCACTCTCAGCGGCCTGGCTGAAGCATGCTGTAAGTGGTAGGCTTTTTTCCTGCCTGAACTGGCATAGGAATGCACCTTAAATATTAATAAAACTGTGCCCAGTGTTTTGGCTAAAAGGGTTTTCAAAGCTTTTAGAGATGGAACCAAACTTAAGTCCATTGGGAGTGTATTCCATGAATATGGAGCTGCCTACCAAAGGCCCTGGTATGCAAGAAGTGTACAATTTTAAGTGTGCAAAATGTGTCCAGAGTCATAACTACCTCTGCATGCAGGTTCACATGGGGTAAGATGGATGCTCTGTGCCTCTGTGCTCTGTGCCTCAGTGCACTAAAAGCTCGCTAGATAATACCTTTCATTGTAGTCTCAACGGTGGCATTGATGCCACAAGTTATAGAACTTGTGGGCCACCATGGGCTTTGAAAATAAGTCCGCAGAAGTTAACCCGTACATAGAACATTGATGGTCCAGTCTTGCCCCCAAATACTGGGTTAGTAACTTGTGGCACATAATTGCCCTGCAAAGGAAAGGTGGGCAAAGGAAAATCTAAAGGGTGGAGCTGTAACCTTCTGCAAGAACCTGCTCGCCTGGTCAGCTGGAGCAGTGCCACAGGCAACTTATATCAAATCCATTGTGATGCTGAGGAGGGGTAGTGTTCAGTTACTCTAGGCAGGTGTGTGTGAAATCTGTGGATTTGGGTGTGAAAAGCAAGCTTTAATGACTGATCTGATCAAGATACAGGCACTGGTGATTAAAGCAAGCATAGAGGAACAGTGGCCTGTCCTGGCCTGCGGATGCTTCCCAAATGCCCGCAAACACTTGGCTGCCTTTCAGAGATGGGGAACAATAATTGAAACCTAGTTAGTGAATCAGAGGTGCTTGATGGGGAGGGGAGAACACCCAAACCCTGAGCTTGTTTCTTCAGAAGTAAAGTATCAGTGCATTGAACAAGGCTCACTCCCAGTGGCGTCTGCATAGGACCTTAGCCTTTATCTCATTGTGTAGAGATCCATAAATGCTTGAGATTTATTTTCATTTTACATGTCCCCAGGAAGGTAGCTGCTAACTCTGAGTGTTTTCCTGTCTGAAGCAAAGCCCAAATTCAGCTAGGGCCATGGTGATGGTGATGGTGGTAGCAATAATGATCTTATTACCTCATGCAGGAACCAGTTTCTGCCTTCATTTATCCCCTGAAGGAAGTCACGTAGCCCTGCTGTATGGAACGGCTGGGCCTGGAAAGGAGGTGTGCGTCCTTTTCCGAAGCCCCGTGCTGTTCCCTGTGGGGTAGGAATGGTGGAATGCATTCCACCACCTTAGGGTACTCGGGCGTTAAGCTGGAATGTCACTCCTGAACCAGCTGTGTGAGTCATGGAATTAATGAAGTGCCTTGACATTCCTGGCAGATGCCTACCAACTTTAAAAAGTTGACACTTGCTGAGCACATGTGCCTTGCGTGGCAAGTATGTGGGAAGAACCTGGGGAGGATAGCCGCCTCTAGCCAAGGAAATGCAGGGAGGCCGGGCTTACTCATCTCCTTTTGGTCTATGTAATCCATGCACATGACTGCCGCAAGGCTGCCGTGCTGTGATGTTAATCAGAAGTTGTGGTGGCAGCCGGCAGTGTCTTTGCAGTCAGCACGAGATAGGGATGGCTGCATGGCTCTCGCAGGCTTCCCAGGCTTGTGTGAATTCTCCGCCCACTTGGAATGACCACGTACGCACGTGGCCGTCTGAAATGCCACATGCTAGGCCAAATGGAAAACACGTTCACTGAGAGCTTTCAAACATCCGAAGAATCTTGCTTAATTTGAGCGTACTTGCAGGATCGGTTTCTTGGTGGTAGTGCATCTGCTAAGCACGCAAAGGGTCGCAGGGTTGATCACTGTGGGTCTAGGAAAGGGAAGCTTCCAGCCATACGGAATAATGCTGAGCTAGAGGGACAATGTCTAACAATACGAGGCAGCTTCCTATGTTCCCAGTGCTGGCATTACTTTTTGTGAGTTCTGCATTAAAGCCAATTGAGTGATTGAAAATGCAGTTTTTGTAGTGACTGAATGTACCATGTTTGTTTGTCTGTCTTTGTCTAACTCCCAATGTAGCACTTGGAATTCAATTGGGCAGGACTAACCAACGTGTTAGATGCTCCGGGCATTAGGTAAGTGCTCCATCGAGTTTTCTGCCAGGAGAGGGGCTGTAGCTCAGTGGCAGAGCCCTGCTTTGCATGCAGAATGTCCTGAGTTCAGTCCTTAGCATCTCCCAGCAGGGCTAGGAAAGACTCCTGCCTGAAACCTTGGGAAGCTGCTGCCAGGCAGTATATGGGGCTATATGGACCCCTGGCCTGACTTGGTCTCTGGCAGTGCCTGCGCTGGCTAGCATCTTAAAAGAAAACATCTGGGGAATGCAAGGAAAGTTCTGTGTTAAATGCCAGGGTTGGAATTGGTCCTCATTCCACACTTATCAAGCAGGGCCATTTCAGCTGCCCCACTATGGCAGCTTCCCAGAATGATGCTGATGGCGACCAGTAGGGCTCATTTCCATCACACAGAACGTGTGTCCCTGTCTGGCATCCACGGGGGGGAGGGCGGTGCTGGTGTGAGAACGCTCTGCAACTTGTGGGGAGTGACAAGCCGCACTACTGAATGCTATTTGCCTTTATCACAGTGGTGTGCATTCAGCAGCTTGTGTTAGAATTGCTCTGTGATTTAATGTTGTGGGCCTTCAGATGCTTGGAATGAGAGCATTTGGCACTTAAATGGGCAGTATCATTTTGGCTCAGCTGCAGCACTCAACAAGCCACAAGAAAATATGGCTTGCCTGGGAACCCGAGTCATTAAAATCTCCTTCCTTGTGCAGTGGTTTTGATAGCATCCATGTTCGTGCTAGAAAGTAGACACCCAAGCATGCAAGCTTAATAGGCCTGCCTTACATATATTTGTTGCGTGTGCTTTTAAAAATCTGTATCGTGTGTACATGTGTGTTTGTTTTCCTCATTTCAGCTTATTGTCAGACTCCTTAATCCAGGATCTCATAGCTTCCCGGTTGGTGCTGCCAAATCGACTCACTATTCCACTGAAAAAAAACATTAACATTGCTCACTTGCGGTTTCCTATTCCATACGTGAGTTATGTCTGAGAACTATGCTCTTAAGACTTGTCAACAAGTCAGCCAGCTCAGAATATAAGGTAGAGCCCTCTCTGAAACAGTGGAGGCTATTTCCTGGCTTGGCTGTTTTTCTGCACCTGCCATTTTGTGGTGATGGACATTGATAAGGCAGGAACTGGGATAAGGCAGCAAACTTACAATGTGCTCATATCTCAATCAAAGCAGCAAAGATGGAGCTACAAGTCACATCCTCACTTACTGCTCTTGTCTTGACCAGAAATAGATCCTGGGCTTTGCCTTTTTCCTTTCCCTTCAAACTCTTCCTCATTCAATATGTCATAGGACTTCAGACAACCTGATTCCTAGCCAAGTTTTCTTGGGGGGCGGGGTAAACAGATTTTTGGTATGGGAGAATTTTTTGAACATATGGAGCCTTGGTGAGACAAGACCCGGTTTGTATGTCATGACCACCCATGATGGGCACCATGGGTGCTACTCCAGACCACATGGGAACAAGCAGATGAGCATGCTGGCTCCTGATACCACTTTTGCTTTGCCTAACAACCCAGGAATGTCCCCTTCCTGGATTGTGTACTGTGACATTGAGAAAATTCCCTCAACATGGATAAAAACTCTGGCTTGCTTTTATTTCAACAGTGCCGAATGCCCGATTCAGGTGTCACAACAAAGCAGAAGGAAGTGGGTGGAACGTTGTTGTTGCCGCCATGTGCCATCGAGTCATCTCTGACTCATGGTGACCATATGTATGAAAGCTTTCCAAAATGTCCTGTCCATGGCAGCCCTGATCAGCTCTTGTAATCAAGGCTGTGGCTTCCTTTATGGAGTCGAACCACCTCATAGTTGATCTCCCTTTTCTTCTTCAACTTTCCTTAGCATGCTGGTCTTCTCCAGGGGGTTTTGCCTTCTCATGATGTACCCGAAGTGGTCACAACTAGGAACAGCTCAAACAAGTGCTAGGTAGCTATCATGACGTACAAATCAGGTCATCATTTTGAGTCTCCCTAGATCTGAGTGGCACACAAATTCACTCAGAATTAATGTGGGTCAAGTGAAGACTATGGAACAGTCTTAGAGAACATGGCAGGTGGGATGTAGGCCCACAATAAATAAAAATGGTCTCTGATGGGTTTATGTAAAATGCTAGATATGCCACTGTCAAATGCATTAACCTGCTTCTGTCCTTATTGCGGTATTTATAGTGCTTTCTTGATCATAACATTTAGAATATAGATGCTTAATGAAAATGGTAAATAATGTTTTTTTGTTTGTATGTATGTTTTAAAGGGAGTAGTAAGAGTGTACCTACAAGAAGCTGAAAATCTTGTCCAAAAAGACAGCTTCCTCGGGGCGATCAGAGGGAAGTCAGACCCTTACGCTCTTGTTCGAGTTGGCCTAGTGCAGTTCCGAAGCAAGACCATCCAAAGAAATCTGAATCCTATCTGGAATGAAATGTTTGAGGTGGTACTTCTACTTGAACACTTAGCACAAGCAGGGTGTTAGGTGCAGAACTTCTGGCTGAAGTTCTGATTACATCAACACACAAATCTGTACATGCCTACTCTGAAGCCAGTCCTACTGATTTAAATGAGGCTTATTCCTAGTTGAGCAGGTATAGGAGTAAAGCCCAGGTCAACGTTACTTTGAAAATACTTTAGCTCTATATGAGCAAACAGAATTGAATTGGAGCAGAAGGAAACGGTTCAATGTAACAGATCACTAGTACAGATCTGGGGAACTTGTGGACCACCAACTGTTTTGAATCGAACCTGCCATTATTCTTCATCTAGCTATGCTGGCTAGGGCTGATGGGAGTTGTAGGCCAAAATATTTGGAGGACCGCAACATTCCCATCCCTGCACCAGTGACTCACTCAGCTTTTTTGTTTTTGTGCTGTGCTGTGCTTTGCTGTGGCTTAGCAGGACTCACTGTCAATACCTGAGGAGGGGCTGCGTGTGGCCCTTGGCCGCTTTGGGTGCAGCCCACAAAATCAGTGGTGCCTCACCCACGTGATGCACCAGCAGCTTCTTCCCCAGACCCTCTCCGCTCTCCCTCCCTCCACAGGGAAAAGCTTTTACTTCTGCTCAGCTGGGGATAAGAGTTTTCATTGCCGTGAAGAAGGGGCAAGCCGTGGGGGAGGAGCTGCGAGCGATTCAGTCCTGCTTGCTTCTGAGGGTTGCCCTGCTTGCTTTTGGGGAGACATGCTGTTGACGTTTGCTTCTGAGTAGACACACAAGGGCTGGGTGCCTGAAGGTGATCCTGAAGGATTAAGTCCTGCTTGCTTCAGAGGAGGAAAAGGTCCCTTGTCCTGCTGGCGGCAGCGGGATGTGCGCATGTGCGTGCACACACACGTATATGTGGATATAGATTTCCAGGGCTGAAACAGTTGTGTTACCCTGTGCTGCATGACGGAAAATCAACAACCGCTTGCACATTCCCAATTTAATTGATCATCATGACTATGAGGAGGAACTGAAAGGCTAAAAAGGCATTTTTCGGTGTGCTTGCTTCAGTATTATGCGTGGCAAACAGGAAAGTGTCTTTCTTGCTGAATCAGTACTTCAGGGGAACAGGAAGCCCTGCACTTTTACGTTTTACCCTATGCAGTGGCTTTTGAATAACAATAGATCCACAGCATTCTGTGTTTATTTTGTTTTTAAGTGTTGCGCTTCTCTTTTTCTCCCTGCAGTTTGTTGTTCATGAGATACCTGGTCAGGATCTAGAGGTAGACCTGTATGATGAAGACCCAGATAAAGATGACTTCCTGGGCAGGTGATGGATAGTAATTTCCCCTTCCATGTATATAACTTTCTGCTGTGTATGTGTGTAGTCAGCATCAGTCAACATCAGTTAATTTAATTCAATTTAATTTATCCTGCATTTGAAAAAAGTACAGGGTGCAGCTCCCTGGAGATTTTACTGCTTCTGAATGCAGGAGGGGAACTCAGTATTTGAATACTCTCCTGCTTTCCCAAAGAACTCTTAACCTCTAAAACTAGGATACGGTTATTTAAGCCTCTGCTGTGGGAGGACAGACAAACATCCATTCCCCCTCCCCGCCCCCTCAGCCTGCGTTCAGAAGTGTTGGATCCTGATATGATTGTACTTTCTTCTTATGGACTCAGTACTGGATCTGAGCGCATCAGTGATCTTGCATTTCATATTTTGTTCTGGACCAGTGTGAGATGGGGCAAGGCAGGAATGGAGCAACTGTATTCCAGATATTTGTGGCACAAGGCAAGCCAATATCCAGTAGTTCATCCCAGTGTGCCTTATTTGCAGATGTGGAACATGTCTTTCTATCTGTCTGCCCACCTGCCTGCCTGCCTGCCTGCCTGTCTTCAGCCATGCTGTGATAAAATTTGCGATGGTCTTTGTGTCCTAGTGAAGGAGGATTATGTTTCTGTACTAGGATGGTCCAAATCTTACTTGGAATCTGGTGTGGTGTGTATGTTTAACAGGTCTCAAAACAGCACTAAATCCACAAACATCCAACAGAGGTGCTTCTCTCCAGTCTTTTCCCATTTCTGTACCCAGATGCCGCCAAAAGAGCTAAATGTGCCTCTTCAGATGAAGATCTTTGAGCCAGTGTGAAGGACGACTCAGTGGTCTTTTATACACCCTGATGTTCTGGTTCTTGTGTGATGAGGGAGTTCCGCAAATGCTGTACTTTCCATTTGGATTCAGGGCTTCATAGTTTCCTTGTGGACAGCAGAGGTTTAAAATCTGCAAGAGCCCTCAGAGTTGCTCTGGAGAGCCATCCATAAATTTAGGGACAGGAAGGCAGAACATTGTATAGCATGAAAGGAACTGCTTTCACACATCGCTGTTCTACCTGCCCCTGTGTCTTTCTCCTATAGATGGAGAAGACACAGCTAATTCAGACTGAGGCAGGGCAAAAAGGTGAACGCCAGGCACCTCTTTGGGCATAGACATTATTTGTGAATCATGAAAGCAAGTACAACAGTTCATCAAGAGCTCATTTGTATGACTTGTTCTATATATTTTGCAGCTTGCTTATAAACCTTGCGGATGTGAGGAATGACAGAGTTGTTGATGAGGTAAAGCCTGTTCTTGGCACATTACGGGTGACAATGGCTTTTTCTTTGTGCTTTATAATATTACTTGAAAGCATGCTGATTTTTATTGAATGGGCTATAAGAACACTGTTTGTTTATTCAGTACATTTATGTCCAATCTTTTTTCCTGTGAGGAACCCAAGGAAGATTACATAATCTTCCTCCTCCTCTCCATTTTATTCTTACAACAGACCTAGGAGGTAGGTTAGGCAGAGAGTCAGTGACTGGCCCAAAGTCACTCACTGAGCTTCATGGCCAAGAGGGGACATAGGACCTGGATCTCCCAAGTTCTAGTCTAGCATTGTAGCCACTGCACCACACTGGGGCTCTAAAAAGGTTTGTTGACGTTCATTACACAAGCATTAAATCCTACTAAATTTAAAATGATCTATAGATATGGGTTTTTTTATCCCCACATAAATCTGATGAGGTTTCTACTGCCACAGAATATCTTAATGGTTGCACGGGGCTGTTGGTGAAAGATTACAAAGCTGCAAAGAGTCTTGGCATTCCTTTAAGCCTATTAAATTACGACATATGCCTTTTTTGGCCTGATTGATTACATGCATGGCTGTGTATCTGTAAGATTGACCTCAAATAGATTCTGTTCCCTCAAATACTAAAGATGAGTTGCTAGCGCCGCTTTGTCCGTTCCATCTCATGCACGATTCAGCACATGCTTGCAGCTTTAATGTGGCTTTATGACACTGATCTGTTTTTCTTTCCTTTTCCAAAGTGGTTCCCTCTAAGCAAGATAGAAAGTGGGCATGTGCATTTGAAGCTTGAGTGGTACTCTTTGGTCACTAGTCAAGAGAAACTTTGTGAGGTGAGTTTTCTGTGAGCTGGGATAGCTGAAGTGGGACAAACTCCTGACAGGATGTGGAATCAAAATTAATCTCCCTCTGTCTGTGCATCTATTTTGCTAGCTACAGGATGGTACTGTGCCATATAAAGCACCTCTGTAGAAACATGTCATACACAGTTGTGCCATGTTTTTAAGAACCCTGCTTGTGTAGAATTTAGAAAGGGGTCAGATGTGCATAGCATCTGTAGCCGTGGCTGACAGCCAAAGTCATAGAAACAGAGTGAGTCAGAAGGGACCTCTGGGGCCATCTAGTCTGACCCCCGGCTCCAGCCGGCTCCGCTCACGACATGCCCACCACGTGCATGTCCAGCCTATCCTTGAACACCCGCACCGATGGGGCCTCGACCACGTCCCGTGGAAACCCATTCCACACCCTTGGTCATGTGAGGGCTTGTATCTGTACTGGTCCCGCATGCAGCCAAATAGCAGACAGGTAGCAGAAACTACCAAAATGGACCATGTGCTCTGCAAGACCTGCTTTTTAACATGAATGTGAGGGTGCTGAAAAAGGAAGAGGAACACTCATATCAGTGTAGTAATTTTTACTGATTTTTTTCAGGACAAGACTGGTCTTGCCACAGCAGTTCTCATTGTGTATTTGGACAGTGCTTTCAATCTTCCTGTGAGTACACTGAAGCAACACATTTGTACCCCAAACTGCACACACGTTGCTGTACTGTCTGCGTACTGACTATCTCTGCAGGTTTTGCTGTGCAGCACATACTGCTGCTCTCCTGCCAAGCATAACATTTTGGCTGACATGACATGATCTTATTTGGAAGCTGGATTCTGCAGGTCTGCTAGGGCCTGCCTGATTCTACAATCAGATTCTGAATCAGACCTGCCTGATTCTACCAAATGAGTTGTCCGAGGAGTGTCTTGTGTGGCAGATCTATGAATTCAATGACTTGCACGAGATAAAGGATGCTTTTTGAGATGAGCCAGTATATCAAAACACAGGGACTGCAGGTGGCGCAGTGGTTTAAACCGCTGTGCTGCTGGGCTGGTTGATCGAAAGGTCGCCGGTTTGAATCTGCACAACGGGGTGAGTGCCCCTTGCTCTGTCCCAGCTCCTGCCAACCTTGCAGTTTGAAAGCATATAAATGCAAGTAGATGAAAAGGTACCACTTCGGTGGGCAGGCAACAGCGTTCCGTGCACTTCGGTGTTTAGTCATGCCGGCCACATGACCATGGAGACTGCAGACAAACGCTGGGTCCCTCGGCCAGGAAACGGAGATGAGCACCGCCCCCTAGAGTCAGGCATGACTGGACTTCATGTCAAGAGGAAACCTTTACCTTTATCAAAACACAAATTTGAGGCAGAACATTCCTCAGGGGTTCACTTGCTTGAAGGCGGAAGCAAAAATGTCCAGAACTAGCAGAAACTTAACTAGCTAGCCACATTTCACCCTCTCTGATTCTTACAGGATTTTTGATGAAACCTGTTTGAATATATTGGAAATCATGACCTCCTAACTTCTGTAAAACTGGCTTCTGCACTATGGAGGATGAAGCTGTGGAAGCAAAATGATGGATTTAATAGGGTGACTGGGTTGCTCTTCTATTTTTCATGTCTGTAGACCTGGGTTCTCATCATGAATTCTAACAGGGACCTATTACCTTGCCCTTCAAGCTGAATTTGGGGTAAATTGCAAAATTTGTAAACAATAAAATAAGGTAAAATGCATACAAAATGCACAAAAAACAGAAGAATCTAGGAGTAGAGAATTAAAAGAAAACTTATTCAACCAGGAATAAAGTAAATCAAATTCATGGAAGGATGAGGGTGGGTTTGTGCAAACCGCCTCTCCTGGTGTTGGAATATCATGGAGGAGGTGAACATTTTAAGTTTGCTTTTGCATCCCCTTTTCACGTTAACTCTCTTCCCTAATACAGAAAAATCAGTTTGAATATTTCAATGGTGAATATGGACCAAAGAAGTTTAGAAAAGACAGATACCTCAAGGTAAGATGTCTCTTATTTTGCAGTGCCCCAAAAGGGAACACACGTTGAACAAAATACTCAGTGGATGTCATGATGGATAAAAACTGGGGGTATATCTTTTACATCTTTGTAGTTAAGCTTTGTGTCTCAACTGTTTTCAGAACAGAGAGGCAAATTGATGGAATAACAGTCAGTGTAGGAGAGGCTACAGTGATATACAACATCCTGACTAATGGGTGGGATAGAAAATGTATACATTCATAAATAAAACTATACAAACAATTCTCATGCCAAAGTTAGGTGATGCATGGGAACTTTTATAGCACCTCTGTGGTTTGCATGCTTCAATTTTTTTTTAAAGGCTGCAGGTTTCTACTTCCATATGCTTTTAGAAGCATCCATTTACCCTCATGGTGGGATAAACAAGGTTATATGTCAAAAGCTCAGCAACTATGATTTCAATGCTTATTATTTCTCAGCCTTGCTGATTTTTAAACCCTTGGAGAAACACCATCTAGCCATCCAATCTACTGGTTTACTTCTGAAAAGACCATTAAATAACCATCAGAGGTGTTTTTGACCTATCACTTGGTTCAGGCTATCACTGGCAAAACTCAGAAATCTTGTACACGAAGAACAGCACAAATTGCTGCTTGGTCCCCGTACTTCTCTATCTGAAGTAACTCTTTATCATATTCAAGTTCTGCCTCCAGATATGAATGGTTGCTGTATCCAAGTATAAATACTGGATGTAGAGTACTGCAGTATTAAGCCAGTTCCTAATCTAAGAGTCTCCCATCCCTTCCCAAATCCCGTTGAATCACCAAGTTAATGCTAGTCTTTCTGCTTAAGCCACTACCTTCTCTCGTGCAGTTTATGTTGCTATTAACACTGCCCTTTATTTCAAAATGGTAAATAATACAGAAGATGGAACAGGAGCCTTCTTCCTTTGTCCTGCTCACAGTGGGCAGCAAAACTCATAGAAGCAAGGTAAGGGGCATTGTCCTTTCTTTTTCATGAAGTGCACACAAGCATGTGTCCCTGTTTTTGGTGGTGCGGAGGCAGGTGTCTCTCTAGTAGTACAATATCGCAGCACAGCTTGCCTTAAACACCTTAGTCCTTTGTAGACAATAACAAGCGACCCTGGGCGACACACAGGTGCAAATCCCAGTCCAGCATCCATGGAATGATGTGCTGTCCCCCACATAGGATGGCTGATGTGACCGGAGTGAGTGCTGCTTAAGGGCCACTAGCCACGCAGCTCTTCATCCCTATGCAGTTGGATGAGCTCTCTGCTGCATGCAGCTCTTTGTACCTCCACTTGTGAATGGCAGCTTAAATAAGCATATAGGCATGTGGAGTAGTTGAAAACAGTTGTACATGTTCAAAAAAAATCTGAGATAGAACAAATGCATTTTTTTGCTTGTTTTAAACTGAAATCATTGTGTAAATGCTTAGGGTTCCAGCTTAGGGTGGTGCTGGAACACTATGAAGATTGCATCCACTGAGAACATTTAAAGAAAACATTTGGAAGTGCCCAGAAAGATGCCTATGAGTTTGGAGGCAATGACCTGGTCCATGTGTGGCAGACAATTTACTGGAGTCACATGTTGGCACCATTTTGAATCTGTAACCTCTAATCCAAGGTTACTCTGTGATGTGCAGACCTGGACATTGTCGGTTTATTGTTTGTTTATTTCATATGGCATTGGTGGTGCAGTGGTTTAAACTGCTGGGCTGGTTGATCGAAAGGTCGCCAGTTTGAATCTGCACAGCGGGGTGAGTTCTCATTGCTCCGTCCCAGCTCCTGTCAACCTTGCAGTTCGAAAGCATGCAAATGCAAGTAGATGAAAAGGTGCCACTTCAGTGGGCAGGTAACAGCGTTCCGTGCACTTCGGTGTTTAGTCATGCCGGCCACATGACCACGGAGACTGTCTGTGGACAACTGCTGGCTCCCTCGGCTAGGAAACGGAGATGAGCACTGCCCCCTAGAGTCAGGCATGACTGGACTTTAATGTCAAGCGGAAACCTTTACCTTTACCTTTATGGCATTGGTATAATTAGCCAGGAAGTCTACAGTGCTAATGCAGAATAGTTTGGCTACCCAAGTTTGCTAGCTTTCCAGTTCACATTTGCACGCTGTCCACAGTGCACCACAGGGGCAAGCCAGCTTTGCACACAAAGCAGCTTGCTCTGGTCTGCAGGAGTGTTGGTGTACTCCAGTCTCTCTCCACCACCAGTTAACAGTGTGGGTTAATCCTGGGTTAAACAACCCATATTTAAATAAAAACTAATCATAGGTCAAACTGTGGGTTGTTTAAGTGATGGCGTCTCAACTCTCATGTAGTAACCACCAATCAAGGTATTTGGAGGTTGCATATTCAAAATGGCAGTGGTATTATGTGCAAATGTGAACAGTCTCCCTCTCTTGGGGATGCTCCCCAGGCATGTTGCCTCTGAACCTGAAAGCTCTACATAATGAAAAAGGATTGAACACTGGGGTACTAATGACATTGGTCACAATAGCCAGACCTGCGACATTTCTGCAGTCCTGTTTTGCATAGCAGCTCCAGAAGAGGATGCTCGCCTTAGGGAAGACTTTCTTTTCAGAAAGAATAAAACAGAGCACGCCCAGTGGCTGGAGGTTTTGAACAACCCCCCCCCCCCGAAACTGATGTGCAAATGGATGAAGAAATCTGTACGGCAATAAACAAGGGAGGCAGGGCCTATTTGATCATTCCTGATGGTTGGAAAAGCCTCAAGTATAATGTTCTTGTCCTGCATTTAATACAGTTGGACATGCTTGTTCAATGGATACTTTTCCCTCCGAGTAGGGGGGGGTGTGCATGCATGCATGTGCCAGCTGTTTTTCCTGGGCCGTGTCCTGGGAACTGCTGTTGGGTAGACATGAGTTCCTCATTCACAAGCCACGTGTGATCCACAGGTTCTGCAGAAGCCATCTTTTCCCAAGTCTCATGGATTCTGCCGACATGTTAGCTGTTTTTACTCTCTAGAATTTTCTGCAAACTTAGCCATGGAAAATATGGAAAATAATATCGTGAACCAAAATGGTGCTTTAGTACTTAGGCTAGAGTGTGAAAATACACATTTGGGGGAGTTTGCATATTTTAGCAGGATTAGTGCACTTTGGGGAGTATGAATTTGCAAAACTACGAAGTTGCGCCAATGCATGCAATGAATGCATCTCCACAAAATCCAGTTCTGCCAGTGAGCAAACAGTAGCATAAGGGCATTTGGCAATCCATGAAGCCATAATAGCATAGATTACAGAATGCCTACAATTCCTGCTCGTGTCTGTTTGGAGATTGGTCCCATTGAACTCACTAGGTCTAGCTTACTAGGAAGTGCATGTACGCTGCAGTCCATGTGATCTATAACTAAGGGCGTATGTCTTTCTCCCTTCCAACCCCTGGTCTCACTTCTTCAAGCAGACCTGTAATTTCACCAAGGATCCTGTGTGGGGCCAGGCATTCACATTCTTCATACACAGCGCTTCGTCTCAGTCTCTTCACCTGGAGGTCAGTTTGTCTCCTCTCCCTTTCTGCGAGGGGGGCACATCTTGGGGTTCCATCTCTATACATACTTTCTGTAGTGTGTGCTCACTATTGCTACTTCAGAAAGTGACTGCAAAAGTGGATCATTTTTCTTAATGAGGAGACCACTAATTTCACATGTTGTACATACAGCCAAATGTAACTTGTGATAAAACAGAGCCAGTGTGGGGTAGTGGTTAAGAGCATGGGACTGGGACTCAGGCGATCTGAGTTCTGGTCCCCGCTCAGCCATGGGGCCAACTGGGTGACTTTGGGCCAGTCACAGACTCTCAGCCCAACCTACCTCACAGGGTTGTTGTTGTGGGGATAAGATGGAGGAGGAGAAGTTATGTAAGCTGCCTTGAGCCCTTTGTAGGAAAAAGGCAGGATATAAATTGAAAATAAATAAGTAAAAATAAAATATTGCCCAGAATGTCTTGCTGAGTGTACATGCCTCCAAGAGAATATTCCCAGTGAAGGAATATTTGCAGGGGTCACCTCTTTCCAGAATAGGCATGCACAGCAGGCCTGGGCAGCACTGGGATCTTTGTGGACAAACAAGTACCTTTTTCAAAGTAAACGTGCCCCTTTTTAAGTTGTGGCTGCAACGGAGTGGCAAACCAGTCTACTGCCCCAGGGGCAGTGTCTGTGGGAAGCTGCACAAGCTCTGTGAGTGGCGTAGTGCCACACCTGGTCTGCAGTCCAGCTATTTGCTCTGGAGACCACCTGGCCTGAAAGATGTAATAAGTAAGATAAAGGATTTAATAACAATTTTAATAAAATCTTTGTTATAATTTGGCTGCTTGTTCATATAATCTCTAAATGCAGGCACGTGTTGACTTTTCCTTTTGTGCTCTATTAGCAATGATACATTTGTGGTGACGTACAGCTGAAACTGGCAGATCTCTTGAAACAACATTTCAAAGGCCTTGAAGCTATTCTGCCTAGAAAAGAGAGCAGATGTATTTCATGAGAAAACCAGAAACGATGTAGCGCACTGGGCAGAGCACGGGATGTGGCCTCATTGCAGCCCCATGTTTTGATGGACAGTGAAAATAATCCTGCACTTTCCATTGTAGCATGAGAACATTTGGGGACTTTCCTGACGATTAAGCTGTTTTAGCATTAGCGTGAGAAAAGGACCGTAATGAAGGTCATTTTTCACAGCACTGCTTTGAATGGTTGCTTCAGGCCCATTTGCTTTGCTTTCCTTCTGGATCTCTGCAGTGAAATGCTCTGTTGATCGAGAATGCCCAGGGAGACTTGTGGGCAAGATTGGACTTGCCTTGATAAAGACTTCAGCTGCTCAGTTATTGGCACACACCCTGCTTTTCACCACAACTCTTTCTTGTTATGAGAGCCTGGTTCTCCAAGACCGTCCATGAGAAGGCAGGCAATTTGAATTGTGGTCATTTCCTATCAATGGTCCAGTTAATTGGTGCTGGCATTAGGGGTTTTTTAAAACTTCAGATGGTATAGTAACCCTTATTAAAATTCCCACTTGTCAAATGGGCAAAATTGCTGTTGACTTGCAACAATCCTAATATGTATGGTTTGGAGTGAAAGGAATTAAAATATTTCTTGGGCTGGCTTAACATGCCCATGTGTTTTTCCATCTCTCTAGATCAAAGATAAGGATCGGGAGAATGCCCTGGGGACCTTGGTGTTTTCTCTTGCTCACTTACTAAAAAATCCTGATATGACAGTCGAACAAAACTTTCAGCTGGATCATTCTGGAGTGGACAGCTGCATTAAGCTGAAAGTTGTATTGAGAGTAAGTTTAGGCTTCTCAATTTCCCACACTTTCCTCTTCCTTTGTTGTCATTCTTACTGTTTTTACATTAGAAATTTACTGTGCATTCTTGATACTAATTTTGTTTCCTAGCAGCAGATGTATCTCAGAAAATAAAGAAATAATACTTTTTGAATCCAGCAGTAAATAGTGATTAGTCTGCATGAGTGTTTCTTCTGGACATGAAAAGTCTATGTTGGAAACATACTTACATTATATATGGATTTATATACTTCAGATCAAATGTGATGAGTTTAAATCAAAGGGAATTGCCACAAACTCTTGATCTCTCCGCAAGATGTATCGATTAATTTCAGTAGAGTGTGTTGTTCATATCTAGGGCAGCATGTTAGAAGTGAGATAGTAACGCTTTCTTAGGTGCTGCAGGAAAATATTCATTTGACTCTTACTTAAAAGTAACTGGTCTTGCTGTTCATTTTTTAGATGCAGGTAAAAATCCAAAATAATCTTACTTTGTTTTTATTAAATTTGAAAACCATTACTATAAATGCTGAATATTTAATAAGTTATATGAATAAGTTAATAAGTTATGGAGAACTCTGAATTAATTTCAGAAGCCAATTACATGTTAGATTTTCAAGCATTGAAAGTATGCTAAAATAGGGCTAACAGCATTTTAAGCAGCACTTTCCTACAGAGTCCCAGATTCTAGTGTTAATATTTCCTCTGTCAAGTCTCATTCCATACAATTACTAGTAAGTCAATATTAATTATAAACACTGGGAAGACCAGCGTGGGGGAGAAGCATAGTGACAAGAAAGGAGATGAGTATTCGGTTTTCTGCTGCCTTTAGCATGGGAAATATTATCTGTGGCTAAATTACTGTTACATTCAGAACTCATAGCCATAAAAAGCATAGCCTAAAATCTATGATTTTCAAAAGCTAACTAACAGGAAACATGCAGGTGGTGGGGAAGATAAGTGGCATGATGCATAGTAATCAGATGAATAGCTTCCAGGTCAGGACTAGCAGGTGAATATTAAGGTGAGCCATTAATAAAAGGTCTAAGAGCTTCTTATCTTGACATTGCTCCCAGTCAGACTTACATCATCTGTTTTCTTTGGACTGCAAATGAGCAATTAGGATTTCCAAGCCTACCCAGGTGGAACAGGATCAGACAAACTTTCAAAAGAATTATCTCAAGTATGTTTCACAGATGCGTATCTACCATATGCTTTGTATTTGTTTCCCAAGAGGGGAAAAAGACAATTGGGGAATTAATTTGAAAATCCACATCAATTCTACACCCGGATTCACACACTCACCTGTACATCTCAGTAGTAAGCACACATTTAAAATGTTCCCTCTTTGGTGCCTAGTAAGAGAATGACCGTGGTTGCTACCTCTATTTTTCTCTGCGAAGAAATGAGAAGGATTGTGACAAGTATAATGATTAGCCCTCCAGTAGAAAAACTGGTTTGGGGGTCAAATGTACACTGAAAGCCACACAAATAGAATGTTTGGTGGAAGTTCCTAAGCATGGCACCATTTGCAAATAAAAGATCATGCCTGTTTTGAAACTTTTTCTTTTCCAATTTATAAAAATATAATTGCACTTCCATCATTTGGAGCAACCATACCTCAAAATATAAAGTAAAGAAAAAATCTGCCCAAACAGAATATGGGACTCTAACTGACCTCAGAGTGTTATTCTTAAAAAATCTGTCTGTAACAAATGACATAATTATAACAGGGACACAAGTACTACTGTGTGATGATCCGTTATTTTGTCATTGCATTGTCTGTAGCCTCCGGAGCTGCAGGCGGCTCGTTGGGCTTATTTTGCACCTCACCCCTTGCTGCCCACAGGAACCCGCTTGCTGCCACTGCCCACGAGCGCCCGCTTGCTGCCCACCACTGCAGCCCACGGGCACCCACCTGCAGCGCTCAGACATGTGACAGTGACCATACGTGGCTCTTCCACTGAGCAAGTCTGGCCACCCCTAGTCTGTAGAGGTTACCGCATCTCTCTTCTTGGTGTCAGCAGTAGCAAACACTATGAGTTTTGAGGGTGCTTCTCTTGGTATCTTGGGCAAGCCGCTTATGTGTCTAGATTCTGATCAGTTCTGGTCTTTGATCTACTAGGAAGATACATCCTTGGGGCATTCCTGTCATTCTTTATTCTTCCAAATCCCAGAGTGCAAGCTCCTCAATCTTGTCTCACGCAGCTGATGGAAATGCTGCAGTGCACGAATGTTTGCATGTTGTGGAGGAGACTCACTGGGTACTTGGAGCTTCTGTCTCAAAGTTCCCTTTAAAGTAAACTTCATCAGTAGGAAAGAGATTGCCTTCAAAATGATGGGTATAATTGTATCTCTGCTTTGTTTTAGGCATTGGCTATAGAGCAATCTGATCCAGAAAGCACTTACAGTGGCGTTAATGCCTTAAAGCAAGTTCCTATCCCTGCTACAGAGCAAGATGGAAATCAAGGCAAGACATGGCTGCCACCGCCGCCGCCGCCGCCACCACCACCACCACCACCACCACCACTGCGTCCTCAATCACTTCCACTAAAAGTAGATGTGCCCAAAGCATGTCAAGGCAGCACAGACTTGGGTGTGCCTAAATCTACAGGTGACAGACAAGAGAACCAAGCTAACTCTAATGCAAATGAGAAATGGGCAGTGCCAGTTGTGATAGAAGCTGTGGCTGGAATTAATGAGCATGCCGGCCCGGCTGGCGTGGACCCCAAGTACTTGACATGTCCTCAGCCCATTCGCGCAGCCCAGACACAGCCAGCCCCACAGAGACTTGGACTTGCCCCCAGTATGGCATCTCTGGGCACCCTAGCCTCTTCAGCCCTGGATATAACTTGCAGCAATCTGGACCTCAATAAGTAAGTCTGATCTCGATCTGATTGTTTGCCTAAACTGAGCATAGCTGCGTCTTTTAGTTCTCAAGGGAATGCAGCATGCGTTCAGCCTCCTGGGGAGGAGGGGCATTCACTTTTTGAAAGTTAATCCATTATCTTGCAGTGGGACGCTTCTTCCGGGAATGTCCATGGGAGAGATTCACCTCACTGTGCGCTATGCTTCCTTAAGGCAGTGTCTTATTGTGCTGGTCAATGCATGCAGGTAATGTCTAAGAGATCTATTTCTGTTTGTCTTCTAGGACAAATGCTGTGTGGGGCTTATTGTTTGGTATGCACCACCTGCTCCAATACAACCGGGTCATGCTATGTAGGTGCACTAATATTACAATGTAAAAGTCAGCATTATTCTATTGCACTGTTTCAACATGGAGCAGACCACGTGTGGCTTTCAGTATTAGCCAGTGTGCTTTCCCTCTCCTCCATCTTGGCCTTTGGCCTGCAGTTCATTGGGTCCATACATTCCAGCAACAGTGAATGGCATAACTATGCTATACTGATGAGCAGAGCCTCAGTCTCCAACAACTTTGCTGCGAACATTTCAAATGTTATAACTCTACCATTTTTGGTCCAAGAGCCAAACTCTTAAAGCTCTTCTTGCTGGTTACTAAGGCTCAAGAGAAGCATGTGAAGCTTTTAGAATGGGGAAAAGGCTGTGTACAAGTCAAGAAACCACCAAACAGTATGTTTGGGTAACAGGACTGGAACCGGGAAGTAGGGATATGGCTTTCCATGGAACCCCAGAGGGCCAGATGTTTTACAAATCCTGCTCCAGGTGTTACCCCACCAACTTTAACCCTTAGCAGTTAATAGCTAAATCCTCAGAACAAGATGAGATGCACAAACACCCACTTGCCATTTATGTATTGCTTTGGATGTAAAGAAGAGTAAAGGCACTCTATAGATATGTGTTTTTAGACTCTAGGCACTCTATAGATATGCGTTTTTAGACTCGATCACAAATGCGGCATTGCTTTCTGTTCCAAAAGAAATCTAATGCCATGTTCTCAGCAAGGGGCACATCCATACGTCCGCATCTACTTGCTCCCAGACAAAAGATGGGTAACCCGAAGAAGAACCACTGTGAAGAAAAGAACTCTGAATCCTCGCTATGACGAAAAGTAAGTAGATCCCATGACACATTTTTTTCTTACTGAAAGCTACATGTTTAACCTGCTGTTTACATGGCTCTCAGTCAAGAATTTGCATTGTTACTGAGCTTTGAAATCTGAGCTCAGTCAAAGTTATGCCTTAGTGGAAGAACTGGACGCTGTGGTGTCAGCCTGATACTTGAGGTAGGCAGGAATACTACGTTAGCCTTGTCCTCCTCATTTGTATCTGGTTTCTCAAAGTTGGTATTCCTTCTTTTAGGAGAAGTGCCTTGAAAACGAATTTCTGGGCTTTCTCAGGGTGATACATACTCTCTATAATTCTCTTCAGCTTTGTTTCTGTATATGTAGAGTAGCTTGCATACAAAATCCTTCCAATTATATATGCCACCTTTTAAACTTGCAGTAATGTGACTTGATAGTGCAGCAAGGCTGTTTGGCTCCAGCACAGGAAAATAGGTAAGATTCCACATGATGGCGCACCGCTCAACATACCTGCTTCCCTTTCCTGAGAAGGCTTTGCTTTTACTATCTAAGATATGCAGAAGAGTACGCAGTATGTGCTGAAAAGACTGGATGCATTCAGCCATTCACTGGATAGCAGACCTGCCCGCTAAGCAGGCTGACCCACGACTGCTAAGCCAGCACGAGGACAGGGCAAGGCCTGGCAACAATGCAGCCCACCTCTTAAGAGATGGTATCATTTCTCCAGTTGGATTGCCCGGCCTCCTAACTGGGATGATATCTCAACTTGTACAGATGCCATACTGATCAATGTCTCCCCCACTCCCCTGCCCCCTGCCACCACATATTCATGCAGCTTCAAACATCTAGTTATGGGTATCAACTGGAAGACCCGAGGCTCAGTTCTGCACACCTTTAGTGTTCTCTAAAGCACAAATCATGAAGCAGGAGAGATCTCCTTCTCATCTGTCTGTCTGTCTGTCTGTCTATCTATCAACCACATAATCTCTCATGCTTCTTCAGTCTCATTGTGTAGAGAACTCTAGTGAAGTGAATGAGCCCTGTGTGGTGAAAGAACCCACCCCCAATTAATTTAATTTGCAGAATTCTGACTTTTATAGCTCAACATTTGAAAGTTTTGAACATGTCACATATCAGAAGCAATGTTTAAAATCTTACAAAACTTTAACCTCTTGTGGTTTTGTGTTTGATATTTAGCATATATTCATTTTCCATGATCTACTTTTAGATTCGAATTTTTTGACACTTTGGAAGAAATTAAGAAACGAGCCTTAGATATTGCAGTAAAAAATCGACGGCCATTTATTTCACATGAAAGGAAGGAGCTTGGAAAGGTAAAGCATCTTGTAAAACTTGAACTTTTTTCAGAGAATGGAAAAAGTAAACCAGTGAAATTAATTCCAGCTAGGAAGAAATCGATGAGTGGCTTCCAAATCCACAAGAACTCATCATGGTGTTGTTGAAAGTATAATGGGTTGTCATGTCACCCAAACCTGAGTGAACCAACTTGACCCCATTACGCATACTGGGAACCAGCTACCTATCCACTTGGGGAAAACGGCAAAACCCTTTGATGCTCTTGCCAATAATTCTTGGATGACGGTCATTGTCTGTGGCAATTGGAAAGAAGTGGTACTGGCTGTCTCCCCTGCTGCTCATGATCACAAGCCTCTTCAGTGGCTGTCATAGCTTTCTTCCTCCCAGAGGGGACATTGCAAAAGCCAGCAGGTGCCTCACTGGTTTTCACGATCTCAGTTTTGACAGCTACTGTATATTCAAAGTGCTCCAGCAACATCCTTGTGGGTGTGCCAGTAATTGCCGAACATTTAATTTGTTGGTCTCTGCGACTGGGAGAAGGTATGCCTGCTGGCAGAGTCCAGTAGGTGTACCTCCCCAAGCCTTATCCCACAGAGGCTGCAGGTGACTTTATTTTCTCCTTTGGCTACATTTGAGAGCTGTCAAAATGTGAGCTGTCAAATGTAATCAACCATGCAAGTGATTTTAGCTCATGAAAGTGGGGTGGTGCCACCTTCTCCCTCACTGTAGTAAGATCCAGGGGTTGGGTTCATATGCCCTAAGGCTGCCCTCACTTCTACTTTTGTTCAGAAGATTTTTACTACCTTACAAACATGCAGAAGCACAAACCAACACTAAAATTGGATCAGCTATTTTTGACAGCTGTTCAAAGTATTTGGGTGTGTAGGTTCCTGAATTTTTTTAACTCTTTCTAAAACCTACTTTAGGAGTGGATGGGATTAACCCAGATTTTTCCAGTAATGTTTGTAACTTAATGTATACTTGCTTGGCAGTAGTGTGACTGGCAATAGTCTTGCTTTATGCTAAACTACATGCCTGTCAGCCAAACAGTTAAACAAAATATCCAACCTTGCTGCTGAACCAGTAATAACCTTTAATTATGCCTTTCTTTTAAAGGTGCTGATTGACTTGTCAAAGGAAGACCTAGTCAAGGGCTTCTCCCAATGGTATGGCTGAATTTGCAGCATATGTCTGCAGCAGAAGTAGCAAGAGCTACATCTGGGTCTATAAAACTAATATAGGGTATTGTACTGACATACCCCAAATGCATTACTGGATGCTATGGGGACAGGACTGGGTAGGTGGGACTTAACAGTGCAGTGCAGGAGAAAAGCACCCTGCCCCTTTAACAACAACAACAAACAGTATAAAAATGAATAGTTATCAAGAAGAGGTCACTTCAAGTCAAATCACACTGGGACAAAACTTCCCTTTTAAAGTGCAGGGTGAATACAGTAGTGTCCCTTCTTCCACTTACAAAGGCTCTGCCCAACGTTGCTTCCATTTCACCCCATACAGTGATCAAGTAGCAGACCCAGTTTTCTACATGGTTTGCCACCTTCAATCTAGACTGGTCTTCAGTTGTAGAGCTAGTGGGTGTCTAGAACTGTAATAGTGAGTTACAAATTGACCAAGTGTAAACACCTCGTGTCACAGCAGTGGTCTCTCCAGCAAGTTTATTTACTAGACGAATTGTAAAACATGTGGCCTGCCCATTGCTACAAAATATTTCGACTTGAGACCACTCTGAGAAAGCATAATTTGCCCATCTGCTGCTGCACCTCTTCAGGTCCTGCTATTTCAGCTATCCTACTCATGCATTTACCATTGATTTCTTCAATGGTTTAATCCCCCTTAATTTTATAACAAAAAGACAAGCTTAGAAAGATGCAGTGCAGCAGGGGGTCTATTATCCAACACTCTATGCTTTCATAATTACCAAGATAAATACCATGTCAGCTTACATTGGTCAAATTATTGTATCTTGAATATTCTGGTTCAGGCGGAACTAACGCAGTGGTAGAATACACACGCTTCACGTCCAAGTCCCAGGTTTGGTCCCTACCATTTCCAGGTAGGTCCTGAAAAGCTGCAGTCATTATATAGGCAACACTGAGTCAGATGGGCCAATGGTCTAATGCTATCAGGAGATTAATATACTTTAAAACTTCCCAGGTTTTTGTAAGTACCCAGCCTATAGCCCAAGAAAGGCTGGGAAAAGTTCATTGTATGGAGAAGTATGTGCCACACTGCAAACTTTATCATGATGTCTGAATTGGCCCACAGTGCTGCTTCTCTTTTACAGGTATCACTTGACAATACATGGACAGCCCCCGAGCTGATATTTTCCCTGAAGAACAGCTGGAGCAGTGTACATTTGTATATATTTAACTTTGCAAGACTGCTACAGTACAACTGTAGATTTTATATTCCAGTCATATTGTTAACTTATTTAATATCCTGGTGTAAAATATTTCTGTATTTTTATCCAGGGACAGTTTGAGCAGTAAGTGTACATTTAGTTGGCAACGGCAATACTCACAGAAGCTTGTTTTTGAGTGTACAGCTCTGCTGTATCTGTATACTTGTGGCACAAATACAGGTCTACAGGTAGGAACTGCCTCTGGGTTTCAGTTTTAACATTGCTGGCACATACTGCTGTGCTTAAGGAGAAGCAGTGTGTTTCCGTGAGAACACTGCAGAGAAAGATGCTACTTCAGGACTGAAGATGTGGAGCTTTTGATCAGAGACCAAGTCCTTCTTTCTGGAGAAATGGGTAAAGACAGTTCCTGGACGTGCATAGAGGTGGAGACTGTCACTCCAACTTCCACTGCCCTGCTCTGGGGATCCTGAGCTTTATGGGATGCACAGGGAGAAGGAATGGCTGGGACACAAACAGTCCTCTGCATCCACGCCTCAGAGCCCTGAACTCAAGTCTTGCACTGCTTGCGCCAGGGACAAAGAATGTGCAGGTCTGAAACTTGGTTTTACACTATGGATGAGTGTTTTAAATGAATAAACAATGTCATGGCTGGATGGCTACTTCTGCCTTGTCAGCTGAACAGTAACATCCCTTCTAATGAGCATACTGTGCTAGAAAATTTCTGCTCATACACCATTGCACGCAAATATGTACTAAAACTTCAAGCGTGAGTGAAGATATTTTAATCGAATCATTTGAGAGCTATACATAAGAGGTAGCTACATCTCATAAGAGTCTGTACATGGTTTACATTATTGGGCTTTCCATATCAGCTGCTGCACAGCAGGCACGATGTCTGTCAGATTTCTGACTCCTGAAATGAGAAAAGTGACTCTGTCTGGATTACTATGCCTTTCAAGTTAACATTAACGTCTAGATTTCTAGGGGGGGAAAACAAGGGCTATTGTTGATATATAAACAACTGGCACATGGATTAAAAAAAGGGAGGTTATAGCTGTATTCTTGGAGCAACATGTCTGGAATATACTGCCACACCGATAAGGACTGAACTGATACTTAAACACAGATTTGCTTTCTAGTCTCTAACTCCCACAATAATTGGCAAGGTAAATACAGTGCTTACTCTAGCCTACAAGTTCCCATTATCTTTTTCTAAGTGACTATAAATCACTTTCTCAACCTTCCCTCGTAACATTGATGGGGAAGCTAAATAACCTCATACTCTGAATTCTTTTGAGGAAGTTCAGACTAAAAAAGATAGTCAGATACAGAAGACTTATCTTCCATTACAGGCAGTTAACTCTTCTGTGCTTCTAAATGCCTTAGGAAAAGATGAGCTAACATTTTCTACCAACATAAACAGAAAAATTAACCAGACCGACATCCAACCAAGAAGACATTCCACATTCATATGATTTTCCTGCTTAAGCTTTAATATCACTGCCTTCCAAAAGGCAAAGTAGGTCTGGAATGTGTGGATGATAGTATAGCATTCAAGTTCCTTACCTAGAATGTGAAGTAAATTCTCAGTAAGAGCTTGGAATGCTGGAAAAAAGTCATCATGTTCTTCTAGTTTATAAATAATGCTGAAAAAGAAATAATAGCCAATGTCTGTGTGCAAAAGCTTTGAGGCTTTTCATACAGAGCAGAAGAAAGCTTGCCTCAGCTCAATTCCACCTCCTTTTTACAGAGAGCTATACTTTGTTTATAAATGTTGTTCGACAGCAGCATCCAGTGGTCAGAAGAGATTACTGAGGAAGTAATTGCCTGGTATTTCAAAGAGGATGAGGAGAAGCCCCTGCCCTCATGACAAACAACCAAAAGCAGACCGAAGGAAAACTGGAGAACAGGAGAGCAACCCAAACAGCAATCACCAGGGAGAACACTTTTCAAATCCATACACTCAGTCCTCCAAGCAACAGCATGGCAAAAATGTAAGGGTTTACAGCAAGGGTTTGGAGGAGAAATGTACTGGAGGAAGCACCATGAATGCAAGAACATGACTCTAGATGCATGACTCAAAGGTAACTATTTATGATGAAGGGTTACATACATACCTCTGGATGTCTTGCGTTCCTAGCAGCTGCTCTACCTGCCAGGTCACATTCTCCCTGAAGAGACTACAAAGCTTTCCCACTGTGTTCACCAGGACACCGGGTGGGGCTGCAGTATCTAGGAAGAACTCTGCATTAGGTTCCAGAGCAAAGCTTCCACACACAAACTGATTGTCAAGGCAATCCTGTGGCTCACATTTTACAGCAGTAGGTAGTAATAAGATAAACACCTGAAGTGGTTGCCAACACAATATTCAAATGAAGCAACATATGGGAATGATTCTAAGGGTTCCATGACTGCCATGCTTTTTAAAGTAATTTAAACACATTAAGACTAAAATCAAGACACTAAAGACGAAGCTGAAGGAAAGCCGAACTGGCACTTATACAAAGGGCTAAACAATATTCTTCTTAAATTGGATCCCATAGCATAAAACAAGTCATTATAACAACACAAGGACAGGTCATAGTGCCCTTCTATGTAAGAATTACTAAACCTTGAGAGCAGTAAAAGAAAAGATTTAATAGCTTAAAAATCAGAAATAATAGGATATAGTAATGAATGTAACTCACAGGGCTTGGATTTATCATTTAATAAATGTATACCCTACCATTCTAACCAGAAAATAGCACTCCTAGTGGCTTACAAACATTAATAAGACTTAATTAAAAGAACAAAATAAATACATTGAACAGTTAAAAGACAGCCTCCAGGCCAACCCTTCTGCTTTCAGATTAAAGCCCTGCTTGAATTAAAGAGGTCTTTGTCTGCTGGCAGAAAAAAGGCAGATAGGGAGCAAACAGAGGGTTCCTCAGGGAGGGAGCTCTACAGCCAGGAGTAGTCACCAAGAAGGTCCTCATATCACCACAAAACTACCAAATCTGAAGGTGGTGGTTTGAAAAGAAGGGTCTCTCCTAAGGACTTTTAAGGAGACCTTAAAAGTGGGTAGGCTTGTGCCAGAGTGGGGCATCCAGTCTGGTCCAAAAGCTATCTGGTGCTTTACAGGTCATAACCAAGAATTTGAATTCTGCCTGGAAACAGACCAACAGCCAATGGAGTTGCAATACAGGAGTCACGTGCTCCCTATAACCAGCTACAGCCAGCAGTCTGACCACAGAATGCTAAAGCAGCCACGGTTTCCGAATAGTTTTCAAAGGCAACCCCATCATACCATAGTGCAGGCCTACTGAAATCAACAGGCCCAAATTAGTCATGACTCTTTCAAGTCCTAATGATCTAAGTGGGTTGATTCTAAGCATGATTAAGTCTGGATCCAACCTTTTTGTTTTACAAGACTCTATAATGGGAGGGTGGAGACAATATGTCATAGTAACATCATTCAAAGTGAAAGAGTTTTTAAAATCAAATCAAGGAGAGCTTTAAGAAATAAGTATAGGGCTGAATTTCCTCAATCTTCAGGATATATTTGGTAATAAATATACCAAGAGATTACTAAGATAGTTAAAATTCCATGAAATTTTGTGCTGAAATGTATTATAGTGCATCCCTTAACTGAAGGAAGCTTTTAGTTTTTGATATAAGGCAATTTGGAATTTAACTGCAATAATTTAAAATATTTGAAATGCAAGAGCCAATACCCATTAGTGTGAAGGTACCGTGGAGGAAGGCATGCACACACACAGACTGATTCCAAACAGTGCAGAACAGCTAGTTCTCAACAGCTGGATGACCTCTGCTGGTTCCGAATGGGTCAGAGTAAAAGGCAACAAAATTCATACCTAGTTCCAAGAGATCACGGAGGTTTCTCATAGCATTGGTCATTTCACCAAGTTTTGTATAAACTTCATTCATTCGTGGGTAAACTCCATTCAAAGAATTCACATCAAACAGCTTTTGAAAGTGAGAGACAATTGCATACAAAGTTTGTTGTGAAGGCACATGACTTTTCTGTAGGATGCCAAAAGAAAGGGGGGTGGGGGGAGATTACAGTTTTTAATCTGAATTGAATAAGATGGAACATTGGAGATGTATTCTATCTAAAGTCTGGCAGCTCCCAAAGGTAACCAGTAAATTTATAACAGATGTTTAAGGCAACAGTTACATGATTTTATAAGTATTCTACACAGCATAAGGTTTGCAATAGTGAACAAACAAGCACAGCAAAATATTTGAACAGACAGAACCATTGAACAGAATTACCTTTTCCTCACTTTCTACTTCTTCAGACATTTCATCTACCATGAGCTGAAGGTCTTCAACACGAATACATTCCTTGTCATCCTGTACAGCTACTGTATGCCAAGGCATTAATTGCAGAAACAGCTTTTTCAAGGATCTATGCAAGTTCTTGAAAACACAAAAGAATTATTGGGTTATTAAAGTAGAACCCAATTCAGCTCCCATTGGGCTTAGTCCAAAAGTAGCCTTAAGCACAAGGATCGAACTAGCTGAAGTGGGAAGTCCGTAAACAGAATCACATGATCTATATGTATTGCTTTACTGAGAGGAATCCGGTTGTGGCTGCAGTGTTAATGAAGCCTGATCTTCCCCCCACCCCATGTCCTTTCCCAAAGTGAATGTTTCTTCCAAAGCCATTACTTTAGGGTGAAAGACAGAAAGGTTTCTCTCTTGCCTTGAGGCAAACAGGAGATGGAGAGGAGGAGCTGAAAATCAAGAAACATTAATTCCCACTACCCTCAACTGCTCTTTGCCCCATGAGTATGCAAACATTATTTTTGTAATTTTTCCCCCAATCCAACTCAAACCCTCATGCAATTAAAAAAACATTTCTGCTCAAACTGTGTTAATTGTATTATTCTATTAATGGTATTATTGCTATTTTATTGTAATGGCTGCTCAGAGAGCATTATGCTTACAAGTGGCTTTTATACAAATGTAATAAATAAAATACATAATAAATAAGACTCTCTGAAACAGCACATTCAGCCTTATTAGGACCTTTATTTAACCATGTTTCAAATAATATATTCCTCCAACAGGGAAATAACACTGATGGTAAAGTACACTACTTCCTTAATGGTTGTGCATTGAGAAAGCAGACTGAAATGGCCCAAGGAGAGAATGCAAGGGCATTCCATTTGCGTGAAGAATCGCAGGGACACAAATGCAGGCAATTGCCCTCGTTGTGGAAACTAGCCAACTATATAAAAGGGTTAGATTATGCTGTCAGGAGCTTCTAAGCAAACTGATTCAAAGACACACTTTGGAAAATTAAATTCATTCTTGGTATCTGATCAGCTGAGATACATGTTACCTTTAAAATTTTAAGTTGTTTCCATTGTACTGAATTATAGCAAGCATTGTTAAGCTTATCTGCAAACTTATCATTAAGTGCAAGGATGTTTATTACTTAGGTTTACCATTGCACCCCAACTAAGGCATACTAGATCCAGAAAGTCTGTCATGGATGGAGAACTTCAGGCAGCCTGGGAACCACTTTCCACACCTTGACCCAGTCATACAGCCCAGGAGGCTGCACTGCTATCATCGTTACATTGCTATAATTTGACTGCCACTGAATTTTGGCAGCAAATTGCTATGAAGATTCCAAAGTGCTTCCTTTAGCTTGGAAACAAATATGGCCATTTAAGTCTTTGCAGCAGTTTGCTGCCAAGTTTCCCCAGCAAACTGCTGGCTTTTGTGTCATCACCACAGCCAGGGAGGTTACACTTGCAGCCACAGGGGGTGGGTATTACACCCTTAGAGCCATTCTACACAGAGCCCAGGAATGCGATGGCAAACCAGTGACTGGAATTCCAGAGGCTGTACCACCTCAGACTCAGGGCGCTGTGCCATTTTTTAAACACTCTTCTCTAGGAGGAGAAAAAAAAAACACAACCCCCTGGAATATAGCAAATTAGCCCATCGGGGAGAAATGATCGATGTAGCACTCTCCCCAGTGAAAAAGAAATGCAGCAGGTCAGCCTACCACCTTATAATGCACAGAATCTCTCTCAGTCACACCCACTGAGCCAAACCAAAGCAAAGGGGCGCCATTTGTATATATACACAAACTATTGTAAATTTTCCCTAAAAGAAAGGCATCCAAGTTTTCTTCCTATTGTACATACTTCAATAGGGAAAGGAAATAATTAGCATGACTAGGAGGTGTGCACGCTTTCTGTTTTAAGATATTTGATATTTTATCTGAACCCACAACTTAGGAAAGCATCCCCAAGAATACGAGAATGGAGAGAGAGAAATATACTGAGTGAAAGTGAAGCTGAACAGAAGTGGACTTCTCAAAAAACAAAGGATTTAATTATCAGTCCTCATGGCAGTATTCATGTGGTGGGTATGTTTAGTAAGCAAGGAAAAAAAGAAAGACATTCAAAGACCACCAGTACCTTCAGAGCCAGGAGCTGGTCAGCCCACAATTCAATTGTAAGAGGAAGGTGCTCAAATCCACATTCCTGATCGTTATCCTTTGCAGAGTTTCGTGGTGGCTCTTTCCTCTGCATGTGCATTACAAGGGGGGCTCTTCCTGGGCTTCTTATAATAGAATCAATCCTGGACAATACCTTCAACATTTGACAGAAAAACACAGAGTCTACTAAGTTAACCTCAGAAATAACACACTAATTTCCTACCCTTCAGCATACAGTGATCTGGTTTGCCCATCATAGTGGCAGGCTGCGGGTTTGCCAGGATTGTGCGCTAGCACCGTTTTGAATGTGCAGGCTCTCATCAGATCCTGCTCTGTGATGTCTGACTGATTGTTTCTAGGTCTGCACAACACTGTGAGTCTACCATTAGCTATGAGGTTTGGATTGTTTAATCTATGATTAAGTAGTAAGATCCAGCTTCACCTGTATGAAGCAACCTCTGAAGTACATATTTAAAATGGGGTGGCATGTGCCATTAATTAACCCATGACTGGCTGCAGTTACATGCACACTGGTCCAAAGTATTCACAGACATGAACCTGCTAAAGTCTGCTAATGATTTATTGCTACATGTTTACTTGGAAATATGCCTCACTGAATCTAGTGGGATGTACCTCAAGTAAGGTTGCACAAAATTGCAGTTTTAGACAAGAACACCCCAGTCTACATTCTCCTTAACAGTATTATCCTTTTTCTCCAGTGACTAAAAATTATATCCTACCAACTACAAAATACCTATGGTTCTTCTCTAGTTGAGACAGCCCGTTCTTTAAAAAGTGATACATTTCAAAACTAAAACTGGCACTTTCGCTGGGGGCTGGGTCCTCAAAGCTTGAACACTATCCAGCCGCTGATCTCAGTGGACAGTTAAGTAAATGCTTAAATCATTTGTAAGTCTTGTCTTTTCCTGGGTCATACCATGAGAAATGCTACGTGGGACCTCATAAATTGCTTTGACATCAAGCTTCTTATGTATAGTTCTCAGATACACATTCCTTTCCTTTCCTGTTTGCAGTAAGAGGCATTTCTGCTAGCCTACTTTATACTTAATGGAAGATCATGATTTCCCACTACAAGAGGAAGCTGCAGGGAGCCTTGGGTTGGTACAGTCATCACTCCCTTCCCTTTTTTTGTACTCATGTGGGATATAAAAGCCATCAATCAATCGATATTTACATGAAATCAGGGAAGTATGGTTCACTCAAATTCTAATTAGTGAGCATAACCTGAACAGTTCCAGTTCTAGTTCCTTCTCACTAGTTTAAAACAAACCACAGTTCCCTGAATAAAGATGTCCTAGGAAATGGTGGTAAGTTTATAAGCCTCAGTCTCCTCACAGGATGAAAAAGGAAAAGGATTAACACTTATGCTCAAGGTTCTTTCATACAGAACCTTGAGCATCTTTCCTTTACAATGGAAATGGGGACCTTTTTTTCTGTATTGCCTCTTCAGCAGCAGTATTTATTTATTTATTTAGGGGACTTCTATGCCACCCCATTCGCCGAAGCCTCAGGGCAGCTCACAAACCATAAATAAATAGAATTCAATAAAACAATATAAATTAACAATATAAATTAAGTGTACTCACCTGCAAGTAAGTTCTGCAAACTTCCTGTACCTGGTCTCCTCCTATATTACTTTTAAACTCTTTGTTTTCTTTCATATTTCCTTCTTCATTGCTCTGATGTGACCTATCAAGGGGAAAACAACAACTAGAATCCCAACAGAAAGGGAAATGATTCAGAAATGCTTCTTCATGCTAGCACCCACATCTATGTGAAAGTGTATTTAAATTACTTTGAAAGGCTATCTTCAAACCAATGTTAACATTTTCTATAAACTATTGTTTTGATTCCAAAAGTGTGGCAGCACACACTTAAATGATTACAAAGAGAAGAATGGCATGGTAGGTTAATAAGGAATTCCAGGATCCTCTTCTATCCCAAGCCCATTTCCTGTCATTTGCATTTATCATTGAGGCTGCATAGGCCAAAGGTGGACAACCAGGTATCATTCAGATGTTTTGGGCAAGTCCCTCCAGCTTCAAACAATGACTCAGGATTATGGGAATTAATCAAAACATCAGAAGAGCATAAGGTTGATGCCCTAGGAAGAGAATGTGAACACACCCACAGTATTTTTTGGTACTGACAACCTTGCTCCTTTCTCTTTGTCAGGTCATTTGCATTCCTGTGCCCCAACTTCAGGAACGCACCAAAAGCTTATGTGGCTCCAGTCTCGATTTATTTACTCTGTCCTGTCTTCAGAACAAACCAACCAGCATGCAGTCCCTGCTTTCCCCATCTTCAAAAAAGAGGTCCATTATTAATGCTTAAGAAAATTAGTTACTTGATGTTCTTCAATGTTTTCTCCAACTTCCTCACTTGGTGTTTGTACAATTTTAACTCTTGTGCAGTTGGTCTAAAGAAAAGAAAATATTTATTGTATTACAGAGTGTGATGAATTTTAAAGTTTGCAACAGAGCATGTTTCATCCACCCTCCCCAGGGAAGGACAGAGCATAGAGCTATAGTTACATTTTTCAGAAACCTTCAGGTTAGTTGTAAAAGATCCTTTGAAATTATGTGGTGAAGATCTTCATAAAGAATTTAAGAACCAGAATCTCTGCTGGCATTGCATCATTCAAGAATAAATTCATCCCACTCACCTAATTTCTATCTCTTTCTTTAAATTTGTATTTTCACGAATCAGCTGTTCATTTCGGGCTTTTGACTCAATTATTTGAGTCTGGAAAGACTTGAAAGACATGATTATAAACATGTTGTCATATATTTATGTACATAAACATGACATATATAACTGTGATGAGAAACGTATTTCATTTGCACTCACAAAAAAATTGCTAAGCAGGTCATTACTAAACATGAGGTAGCAAAAGGAAAGCACAATGATTTGCTCAAAAATTCAATTGGGGAACCCACAGGTTTTGAATTTAGATCAAAATTCTAGTTAATTCAAATCCAAGTATTTGACCATGCCAACAATATCTGAAATTACATAATTAATATGGGGAAGACAATAATTACACTATTTGATTATTAAAATTAGATGGACTCAAGCCATCTATCAAAGATGAAGATCATTCCTTGCTGGGCACACTGTATCTAGGTGTACTGGTTAAGAATGTTGGACTGGTGTCAGAAAAACTGGTTTTTAGTTCCTACCCACCCATGAAGGTCACTGGGTGACTTTGGGCCACGTACTGGCAATCAGCTTACAGTGTTTGCTGTGAAGATAAAATGAAAGGAGAAGTTTGTAGTCTGCCTTGGGTTCCTTGCAAGAGGAAGAAACGTGGGAAATAAATGTGATGCAATAGAACACGGGTCCTCAAACTACGGCCCGCGGGACGGATCCGGCCCACCATAGCCATCCATCCGGCCCGTGCTACCATTTGCCACCAAGCGCACTTGCTGCGCAGGCGGGGAGGTGGTGGCTTGCTTGCACGGAGATGGCCTCTGAGCGAGCAAGCCGTCGCCACCGCCTGCCTCCTGTACTCGTTGCTGCCTCATAGCGCAGGGAGGGGGGAGATGGTGGCCCACTAGATCGGAGATGGTCTCCGAGTGAGCGAACCACTGCCATGCGCGCTCCCAGACACCCCCACCTCACCGGCCTGCACGTGTAGCCGCCGCCTTTCAACTGGCCCCCAGTTGAAAAAGTTTGAGGACCCCTGCAACAGAACAACGACAGGTGGCTGAAGTCCCCACTTCAACACATGCAGCATAACACACTCAAGGCCAAAGCAGAAGTCACAGCACAAATACTTATATTTTGTTTGTTTAATCACAGCAGGTATTGTAAGCAAGGGGTTTTTTGTGGGGGAGGAAGGATTAAGGGATTTCAATCAAGAAAATGGCAGAACAGGAAGCTAAACACTTCCACTGCATTGCTACTCAGGTAAAAATTAGAGCTTCCCTCTATTCCCCTTCCCTACAATAAGCATTGAAATATGGAATTACCTCCCCTCTAAGCAGTGTCAGGCCTCTGCACTGCTGCATTCTAGGCACTGGCCGAAAATTGTCTGTCTGCTTTCACAGGTATGAACTGTTCTTCGACCAACCCTCATGACACACACACACTTCTTAAAATTCTATTAACTTTTTCAAATGGAAAGCAGCATATAAAGAATTTAATCATCATCATCATGTTGCCTTTCTCCTGCAAGAAACTCAAGGCAGTGTATATAATCATCATCTTCTCCATTTTGTCCTCACAACAACTCTGCAACAACTAGAATCCATCACCCAGTGCATTTCATGGCCATATGGGGAGCAGAACCCACATTTCCTGAGTTCCAGCTCTAACCACGCCACACTGCAGAAATAAAACAACACTTTAAAGAAGCTACCGGTGATTCAGTCACAATCTCCTGCATCACAACAGTTCCAGCTGTAAGACAGGGTGAGGAATTCACGAGAGCAACTACTCTTATCAGACTCAGTAGAAATGTTCCCAAGCCTCTCCTTTTCTGCAGGAAAAAGCTTCCATCTTACTAAAAACCAAGGCTTTCAGTGATTGCCTGTACTTTAGAGGGCGTGAGGAGGCAAAATATGTTCTATGAACTGGTGCAAAGAACAGCTAGCCCATGGTTTCATTCTTGAGTTGATGGGACGCATCCCCCCCTCCCCCGGCTTTAATGCCTTGGGCACTCTGTGCTAAGAGGGAAGCCGCTTTAGAGGGATGCTGGCACTCTAGGCAGCCATCGACTGAGTGAGAGTCTATTTGAGTGTGTTGGGGAAGTCAGACTGAGGATAAAGAGTAATTGAAGTCAATCTTGGAAAGCAAGTTTCAGTCAGACATGGAAGGAATTAGTCTATTTGTAGTTCAAGCCGTCTCAACAATAGTTCACACCTTCTTTTATAGCTACCATGTCTCTCGCTTCTATAAGTAACATAATCCAGAAAATATCTCCCAGTTCCTCTGCCTGTGCTTGGTTATAACTGCGATATTATCACTGGAACAGGCAGGCAGAGCAATGCCCCAGCCTACCCTTATTTTCATAACAGCTGAAGACACAGTATCCTATGCAGCTACTGCTTAGCTTCGACAGTCAACTGAAGAGAGTTTGAAGAACCCCCCTCATGTGCTGAGGGAGCCATGACGCAGGATGGACTAGCCGCCAGCACTGCCGGCAACCCGGACAACCACACTTCCTGTGGCTGCATGTTTGGCAAGTGTGCAAAGGGCTCCTATGTGCAACACGGCCCTGCTTGGTCCATGAACCTCCTTTGAATGGTACAGTGCTATGCAAACAGAGCCCTTTCTTGGGTTTTCCAATGACTGGTGAGCACAGGCTGCAGGGGTACACAACTGCCAGATGGGACCCCATTCCCCTTTGGGCAACCAGCTTTTGAAGGTGAAAGAAAGAAAAAGGGCAGGGCGCTTCCCTCCTCTCAGCTCCCCCCAGAAGCATTTTTCAAAAGATGCAAAGCAGCTTGGGAATAGCGACAGGGGAGAGGTGGCATTCAAAGGTCACCAACAACCATACACCTGCCGTTAGCATGCTCTAAGCAAACAAGAAAACCTTCCAACTGGAAAAACTGAACTGCATTCCTAAAAGTTGGCTGCCACATTACTTAGATCCAAGATCCATATTAATGCTACCAAGTTCCATACCATAAGCAGGGCTCTGTAATTAACAGTGGCATCAACATTCTTCAAGAATTCATCATCATCTTTTCCTTTTCCTTCTGTTTGATTGGACTCTCTCTTATATTTCCTATGTGGGAAATATAAAACAATTTACCAAATTAAAACAATTTACTCTTTAGTGAAAAAAATCTAGAAGAATTAAAGAAAAGGAAGGTTTGCACAGCACATCATACCTCTTGAGAATTTTAACCACACGGTGTGATCAAAATTCCTCTGTGCCTGACAGATGATCAGGCACAGCAGGGGAAGTTTGCCTCCTTCTTTCTCCTCTTTTCCTTCCTCTCTCTCACTGGGGACCTAGCAGGAGCATCTAGATGTCCTCTGAGCCTTGGTGAACTATTTAGCTCTGGCCACAGCTTCTCTTAAAAAATATCAAACAACCTCAAAAGCTGTGGTTAAAGATACCTTTCCTGATCTTGTTATGGAGCATCTGGAAGTAGCCCCCAAGGAGGCACAGAGATACCTTTGGAGCACTGCCCATGAAAGCCCCCTTTAAAAAAGAGTAAGGCAGCATCCTTCTCACCTGTGCATAGAGTCAACGTGTCCAAGTATGATCACTTGACTCCTTGCAAAGCCCTGGAAAACCATGCTTCGTGGAAAGGGGCTGCTTCTCCCCTTTGGCAGCATGAAGCCTGATTTCTTTGGGGAAAGTCTGCTGCCCCACATGTCTGTAAAGGTGTTAATGATGTGAGGTGTTTTTCAAAACATGAAAAAAATAGCTGAAAAATTGCAGGCTTGTCTCATCTCAAAAACTTCAACCACTGGAGTGTCCCTCAGGTTTTGTCCCTTCCTGATGTGCTATTAACTCAAAGTAAATTGCAAAACTGAGGCGATAGTCAGGGCTTCACAGCACCCCCAAAATAACCCAGGGATCTAGCTTGGAAGACTAGAGAATGAAGGCATGTCCTCCAAACATTTACAGATTCTTGTGGGTGGTGGGTGCCTCTTTGCTATCCACACTTGAAAAAGTGGGAGGAGCTGTACATACACCTCCCAAAACCCAAGGAATCAGAAGCTAACAGTGCTTTCCACACAGCCTCACATTTTAAAGCAAATTCTGTTGCAGTGGACCATAAAGTTGCAATTTGGCACACAGGCTACATCCGTGCATATGAATGCCCATGCATACCAGTGGGCTGGGAAGTTCTCCTCTGGTACTTTGGAACTCCTGGGAAATGTAGTCGCTCACTCGTCCCTTGGCTAGGGCATCAAGCCTTTCTGTTGGTCTTGCCTAAGGGCCTTGGATTTTCTTTGGCTTCACCATGCCTTATTCTGCTGTCCAGGCACAATAAGCAACCATGGGTTTATTAAATCTTACAAGAAGCCATGGCTAAATGGGGTGGTTTAAAAGCTGTGCCAGGGTACAAACCACCCTGCAGGGAAAGTGCTGGGTTCTGACGATTCATTAACCATTGTTGCTTCATGCATCATGCAAATCCAGACAAAGTCTTGATTTGCTGTGCAACCTATATTCCATGCTACTAACTTTCGGTAGACTATCTTAAAAATTTTGCTGTTGGTCAGAAGTAGTAGACAAACTTCAGGCTTGCAGAACATTTTTCCCCTGCCAGGAGCTTGAGATTCACCAACTTCAGCCTGATGCAAAAGACAGACACACATAAAGAATTCTGAGCCCAGGAAAGGAAGTTGAGTACCAGAAGTGAATGGCACTCTTGGCACTTTCAGAAAAAAAATCTGTTCCTGGTCACCAGTATGATTCAGAACAAGGTAGGAGATTTTGTTACTGTTGAACAATGGAGCCAGAAACCCTTGCTAGAGGTGTGTCAGCACACCCTGATCTACTTTCTGCCTACCCATCCAACCATTTTGAGTCTCTTCCAGCACCTCTACATTACCACCATCAGAGCAGGTATTATTTTATATAAATGACTTTTCCTACCTTAGTTCTTTTCTCATTTGGTTGATCTGAGATTCGTAACAATCAATTAGACAACAGATCCTGGGGAGAAAGGAGGAGAAAATACTTTAAGAGTGGCAATTCACCCAATATGGGTACCAGCACTAAAAGCGTAAATACATATTTCTGCACTACCAGACCTGCTTACACTGACAGGCTAAGTGTTACAAGGAAAAACCTGGACTCAAAGACAACAGGCTAGAAAATAGATTTACCAAATAAGCTATCTATAACTCCAAAGATAAAAGTTTGTAAACTGTTATGAAGGTTAACAGTCTGCAACCTTCCGCTGCTCAAATGTCACCACCAGCAGCCATTCCAACAGGCTGAACCAAGGAAGATGAAAGTGGCAAACACAGCTGTTCCACTAGGCATGCAGAAAAAATATTTTCCCCTTTCTCGTTAAGTGTTAAGTGTTGTAACCTTTTAGATTCTACATCCACAGGCAGAGACTGTCTTGTTCAATTATATGTATGTCACATTTGGTCAAACAGCAGCATATATGAAAAAAAATACTAGGCAGTTATGGTCCCATTGGAGGAGTACATTAAGGATGATTTCTGTTATTTAAATTTTAAATGTATTGAGTGGGTTTATTTTAGTTATATGATTTTTGTATTTGTATTTTAAAGAATAAAAGAATCAAACATTTAACTTGCAAATTGTAAGATCTGCACAATACTGGTATCCATCGTGTGTTATAAAAACTGTCAAAAACCATGCAGAATTACATACTGCTGATCTAACTGAGTTCTTGGAGCTCGTTTGCAAAACTGGCGAAACATTTTCTTCTGAGTAGCAATACGTTCCTCCTCCTCCAGGCCCATTCTACACAGCTCCTTCTCCAAACGGACAATAGTCTCTTCTTGCTCTTGTAACTTGTCAGCCTGTTGATGGTACCTTACCTGCATGCAGAAATCAAAAAGAGTGAACAAGGTTGCACAGTGTTGAAAAGAATACAATTGATTTGTCAATTTTAAGTTAAGGACATTTCCCACTTTCTACAAGGCAATAACTAGCTTAATATTTCTACTGTTCCCTTTCAAATAATTCAAAGTGTACTGTCCACTGAAGTCAAGATATTCTGCCCTAACATACTCCCTTGTGGTATTAATTTTGTTTCACTTTGTTTTTAAATGTCTGAAACGTCTAAGACAAAAGTAAGTCCCCTGTGAATTTCAGAACACAAATAGTTTTCGTTAAACCAAGTACCTGTGAAGCTTGTTTATCTTTCTGAAGCTCTTTGACTTGGTTGTGTTGCTGGGAAGCATTAGCTATAGATTCATCTTCCAATTGACGTATTTTGTGTTTGATATTTTCCACAATGATGTCCAGATCATTGGCCCTTTGTTCCTGCCGAGAAGCATGATTTCGCTCCAAGCGCAATTCAGCTCTATATTAAACAAAAACAAAGGCAATCCTTTTGACCATAAGAAAATGTCTAGATAGTGTAATACCTTTAAGTAAGCCAGTTCAGTGATTCCAAAAAATGTGTATTTTGTGATCTTTAAGGTGATCTAACAAGGGATTAAATGAGATTCGGAAAATTTTAAAAACATTCCCCCAGAGAATGAGAAAGAAGTGAAATCAAAGGTCAATGTTGGCCCTTAAGCTATGCAGGGTCTCCTGTTGGTCTCCCTCATGGATCTGGCTGTTGTTCACATGCCATAAGTACATGCAGCATCGCTGGGTATCATGCTGGATCCACTGTATTCAGGGAGGCTGAACCTAAACTAAAACAAGCCATACAGTCCCCGCCCAGTGAAGAGCCAGGCAAACTCTGGGGTACACTCATCTGAAGCAATCCTCTCTTTTCATGCAAATTTCAATAAGTGGCACTATCTTCCACAGGTGGGAATATATTCTAAAATGCATTACTGCATAAAAGAACTTTTAAGTTTTAGCACAAGCCAAGCAGAATGCTCATAGCCAAGGCTTTGTGAAAACCAGGAAATGTAAAACTGTGCTCAGTGCAGCACAGCTAGGAATGCGCAATTTGAGGTGGTCTAGAGCAATGTGTGCAAAAGGGGGAAAGCATCTGCTGCAGCTGCAGAGTACCCCAAGTACTCCACAGCAATTTGGATACCAGTTTTATTTCTCCCAGCATCGAGAATCAGCAAGGGTGGTGGGAGCTGGATTGTGGCTTGCATGCTACCCACCTGCGAAGTAATCCAACATTTTGTTTTCAACAAAATCCAACCACATCCCTCTGTAGTGAGCCAGTTCTATAAAACAGGAATGTGGCAAAAGTGAAAGACTGCTTAGAAAAGGACAGTGAAAAACAGCCTCTTTCCAGCTCCTTCATTCAGGTTCAGAAGTCTCTGCACACTGCATATTAAATTCCTCAGAAGAACTTGCTAAAACTTTCTTACCGAAGCTGCTGATTATCTTCAATCAAGCCACGAACAATTTTTCGTTGACGCTCTGTCTCTTCCAGTAATGTTTTCAAAGCATACCGTATTGCTTGTGAAGTCTGTCTGTCTATAACAATCCTATCTGCAAAGTTTAAAGTCACAAGAGATACCATTACAACATATTGTAGATTCTAACATCTCACAAAGCACACAGCAGGGAACAAGAACATGTGATGTCAGACATGTCTGTAGGAAAACAAACTTAGTAACATAGCTAGATATCATCAGCAAGAAAGCTCTGTGGTCTGTTATGATACTTCTTGCTTGCTTGAACTTTGAACGCAGCATCTGTTATATCTATTTCATAAAAGTTTTCTACATGCATTATAGTACATAACAGATTATACAAAATAACAGTAGAGTTGTTACTAGCATCAGCAGATGGTTCTCCCATATATCCTTGCAGCCTCATAATATTGCTAATTTTACCTCTTCAAGAATTACAAAAGTGCAAAATTCAACCAATGACCCTTTCACAGCTTCTCTTTAAAAAGCAGAAACTACCCCCTACAAACATTTGTTACCTGCTAGATTTCTGC